GCATCAGAGGATAATGGAAGACTTAAAAGCGATACAAAACAGATCAAGAAAGTGAAACATCTAAACGATACAACCAGTCATTTGGAAAACATATCCTTAATAGCCCAGACTATGATATAATATGTTAATGCCTAAAATCCCCCTCCCCTACCATTTATGAATCATTATCGCATACCCAAGACCACAAGATCATGGGTCATTTAATTCTTACTGCAGACCATTGCAATACATGTTGAAGATTTTTTTTTTTTTTTAAATGATAACCGATATGCTTAATCAAAAATTGTTGTAGGCACTAGTTTTCATACAAGATGACAAATTCCATTCTTAAGTCCATTATCAAGAGTATCAAAGGAAGCTTGCACTTTTGACTTATGTACTTGGATATCCACTGAATCAGCAAATATATCTATATTTGATGTGATTTCCATAAATAATAGAAATTAACACTACATATGTACATACACCTAATATAATAGATTGATTGATACCCTTGTTAACTGAACAAAATGGTTTGGCTAGAATTGATAAACAGTTCTCTAAACAGATTACAACAGTGTCCCCCTCTCTGATTTTTCCTCAACAGTGGAATAGAACTCCCTTTTACCCTGACATAAACAATGAAAAAATACACTAAAAAGAGGGTATGAATTTCATATATGTAACATGTGAGGAAACCCCGATCTTTTAGGCTCTTTTAGTTATAGTTCTGTATGTGCTTTTAGGACCACACTATATGATAGGTATAGATACATTATCCTTGTGGTAAGAAGGCTGAAATAATTGCAGCTTAATAAGTTGGATAATACATGATAAACTACTTGAGCAAGGTTGCATTATTTGATCTCCACTTCACAAGGCAAAATGTTATGACAAGCATCTGATACGAAATGATGCTTTCAGACATTGTATTTTGCCTCATAGTTACCCTTAAGCATTACAAAGACATAATACCCCATGACTATTATAAATGATTTTTTCAAAGTTGAAGGCATTATGATTTAAGCAGCCAGCAATAACAAAGGCCACTTTTTTTAAAAAACTGAAGTTTAAATACAGGATAACACAATCATACCTTCCATTAATTTTAGTATAATTTCTCTAATAATTAAGACATCTTAGTGATTTATTTTGTGTAGATAGAGTGTTCTCCAATAGATAAAAAAAGATTGTTGATGACCATTGTGAATTATTGTGTTTTATGGATTATGACGATGGCTTTGTGAATGGATGTTGACCCTTTTAAACGCCTATGGACTTGGAGACTGGATTTTATCTATCCCACATCATTTGAGACTGAATGCTCTATCTTGAATGAGTACTTGTATCTACAAACTATTTTTGAGGTTATGAGTATTGGTTATCAATTTCTATTTTTTTCTTCAACATGTATTGTAATGACTTCAGTATGAATGAAATGTCCCTTGGTCTTCTGGTCTTGGATTGTGATATTGGTTCTTGAATGGTGGGGGAAAGGGGGTACTAGACATTTTTCTTTTCACGTTAGATCATGCTTTTGGGCTATATGGGGTTTGTTTTTCTTGACTGGTAATGCACTTAGAGTAAGTTGCTAAGTTCCATTACAACTTTTGGTCCTTTCCCTTTAGCACTTGGGCTTATATAATTGTATTTACAAAACACCTTTGAGATTTAGAAGATATAACCTTTTCCATCCAGGCATGCTCTCGGTGGAATCGTCAAAATTATTTGAGTCATTTCTGGATTGCTTTCATGAGCTTACACATACACTATCAATATTATGTCATATCTACCCTTTTTTGATTTTGTCAAATGTGATGAACTAACTCGCTTATTGCATGGGTACATTTCAAGAAAGAATTTTTGATAGCAACTTTCAATAGGTTTTTGTCTAATATTCCTTTATTCCTTTCAACAGCATGCCTATTTTCTTAAAAAAACGTATGCATTATGTGTTATTTAGGCCTCGACATGTTGATCGATTGATGCTGCTTGTTTGCCCAAATAAATGCTTTATATGAGTTGTGTTGATTGATAATTAAGATGAGTGTACAGTTATTGGGGGAGAAGGGAAGTTGCAAATCACAAAAATATCTAAACGTGTATGATGGATCATGGAACTTAATAATCTAGTTCACCAGATAAATATCTGACCACCAGATTGATTTGGCGAATATCCCATAAGATGTTAAGACGTTCAATAGCTAAATTAGAATGGTGTATACTTGAGCATGCAACTAAGCACGATTGCCATATAAAATGGCATAGTCGCAGACACTGAAATTGCCTTAAAAGCTTACTTACAGTTGCCATGGTAACCCCCTAGCTGTGTAACTCCTGCTAGATCTTATTCCGCGCAATACTATATGAACTAGAAAATGTAAATTAGTATTATTGGTAGTTAAATGAACATAAAGTGACTACTAGCAAAACTGAACAAAATATAATGAAAATGTTAAAAAGATATTCGTCAATTTATCATTCACAAAAAAATATTTATCCGGTTTTGAGACAGCTTTGGATTTGGGTTGGACCTAATCATTTATATTTGAAATTTCGTTGGAATGATACAAAGAAAATACATTTCAAAAGATTATCCATGATACGAACATTAAAAATCTTAGCAATTGCTGTTTTATATGCAATTAAGCACATTGTGTGTACACAAGCCACAAGAATTGAATTGATTAACAACAGATTGATAATGAATAATCAATCCTTACTATCTTTGCATGCTTATTGAAATATATTCTGAACTAACAAGGTAATCCACAGTCTACACTATGTCACATACTAACCAGCATATGCCACCCAAAATCGATTTAAGATAATGACCTTAAATTGATTCGACATCATGGGGAGTGTTTTTTGTTTTTTATTATTTTTAATATATATTTGAGAGCATCTTAGTGCTAACCCCAAGAATATTTGGAATTAATCAGATCAGACTGAATTGATATAAATGGCATTAATGGTCTATAAATGAGCAAACAGCAAAATGTCAAGACTATATTTCAAAAGATTTTTTATAGATTACAATATTACAAACCTGTGTATGTCTTGGGATTTTACAAAGACTATATTACAACTTTATGGAAAGATTACTGATCAGAACAAAATTGAGGTGACACTTTCAACAAAATAGTTTTTGCATCATCTATCTAAATATGACTCTCCTATTTTGGGATATTTATTAATTTGAACAGATGTGTAAAAAGGAACAGTTTAGTCTCAAGATTTGTATATCTTCACCAAGAATGCCTGGGATGCGAATTAGGTTAGGAAGGGAAAGTTCACTATATTTGACAGAATGAATTTTTAGATCGATGGACTGAAATATTTCAGCACTGAAAGAAATCACATATTCCCTAATGACTTAACCTAAGAAAACTAAAATGACCACAAAACACCTTATGAGGTATGCATTCAACAAATCGATTCTTCGATATTCTTGACACTGAAATACATATAATATCTCTAGTCAACAACAACCAAATCATAAATGATATGGCAATTAAGCTGATCATGAGTAGATGCAACAAAATAGTAAGGTGGTCTAAAATAACACTTAAAAATTAATCTTCTTATTCAAATCAATCCTCAAATGATCAGAACATTGAAATGGACACACTGTCTGTGACTAACAATGTCTTAAATTTTTCCATCTAGAATCATTGGATGACTACAGAATATTAGGAAATATGTAAGCACAAAAGGGGGAGTATCACAAAAAAACATCAGAGCAAACCAGTCATAGGGGTTATGAAAGAACAAGTCGCAAATATCCCAAACTATGATCTGACACAAAAAGATGTCAAACTACATCTGCTCAAAAACTACTGTTCGAGACTAACACACACTGATTTTTATGATCAGAACAAGGAAACAGATTCTTAGAACCTTCTGAAATAGGTATATCTTGATTTATACATCCATTAATCCAAATAAGAAGTTAATGAACAGGAACAACCATATCCTGCTCAAATTCACTGCAATGGAATCATGAATAGCTCTATTTGTTAAATAACCAAAACCATAAAATAAGTAGCTGCTAGGATGGGTAGGCTTACCCTTAATATGTGACATAAGAGGTCAATTGTTTACAGCTTGCATATGAATTATTACATATTTTTCATATCTAAGTTTGGAATTACTGTTTACAGTATATGTAAAGAGCTGCTGCTTTTAGAAATGTAAGCTAAATGCACCTAAGACCTCGTTGAGATAAAACATTAGTTTTTGATAAATGATGAGAACATAGATAGTACCAGCATCATTGAATAATGCAGTGCATGTGCATCAGGAAGCTGTAATTGACATAGTTACACTTCTCAGTAACATTAACTTAGCCTTAAACAACTTAAATGATGCAAAGGTTTATCTTTTCCAGTTTTATCTTTCCATAAGGCTTGCTAATAACCTATGCTAAAGTAGTTGTGATAAATTTCTTGACATGGCATTTCATCAGAACCTATATTAGAAGTCTACACCAGGAGGGAAAACCAAACCTGTTGAATTCCTCTTAGTTCCTGCCAGAACTTGCATGAGTAGGTGAAGTGAGACCCTACTCCATTAAGCACTAAGGTTCAGAGTTGCTCTTTAACAACAACTTTTTCCTCTTGGGTTTAATTCTTTATTCGCACTCCATTTCAAAGATGGCTCATTTGTTTTCTGAATACTGCATGCAATCAAATTAATGGGCCCTATGAGTTTTACTGCAAATCAAATATAGATTATCATTGGCCTTGGGTTAAGCAAAAAATCCATTTATTTTAAACATGAAAAGTAAAGCACAACAAGTGAAACAAAATATGGCATACCGGTATGTGATGTATTTACAGCTTACATTGTCCTCATATCAGTGATGTAAAAAACATTGCTGCCCTCATCATGATACTATATACATGTTATTTAACACTTAATGTTTGCTGCTTTGCTTAATATCTTCATAATTCTATTCCCCATATACTATCTCAAGTTTCAAATTTACCTATACATTTAGATATTCCTTATTTTTGCAGAGGTGTTGTGGCACTTGATATATCTCTATCTGCTGTTGATATCAACCAATGCTCTGAGGAAGGACTCTTCTCTGGTACTCACAAGTGCAAACTGGAAACAACACAGGTAAGATATCATAACATTTGGACATGGAATTCAGGAAATGATAAAATTCATAAAGCTGAAATAAGCAGAACAAATTTTGAGATTAAACTAATGTTCAGGCACAGTGAATCAAGAAAAAATGAAAAATATTTGGTAGGCATTTCATACTTTGGAATTTAGATTAAAGGTACGCTTTGTCCTTCTATGATCCATATTTTAAATCATTGAGCCTTCAACTAAAAACTTCTATTTGTACAATTTCAGCATTTTAAAATGTTTAGTTTAGTGAGAAATGTTGTCAAAATTTAAGATATCTTGATATGTGTTACAACTTTAACACAATCAGCACAAAGAACATCAGTGAAATATCAATTTTCAAAAGACATTTTTATAAGAATTTATGAAGAATTTGAGAAGATGGCATGATAAAAACAGAGATGGTTTTCCAAAGATTTTGGTGAAGAAATTTGTTATTTTGAATAGGAGTGCCCTTTGGTGCCAAATAGTTGATTCAAAATATAAGGTTTCACTGGGGGTTTCATTTTCTTGAATTATACATCACAGTGAATATTCCAGACATATTTCTTCAGTCCATACTTAAAGAGGAGGTAATTAAGTCTTAAATTATTTCATTCAGAACTCTAGGGTATTCCCTATAAATTATGCAATATGTTAAATTACAAGAATGCCTTACCAGTCTATTATTTAAACTTTCAATAGGATACATGCATGGAATTAATAAATTATGTAACAAATAAACTAATTACTTTCTACTCTAGAGATTTATAACTATATTGGACAAAGGTATTAATTAGTGATACAATATATTATATCAACAATGTTTTGAGTATATTTGTTAAAGCTGCTATTAACTTACAAGATATTTCGATATTGTTGACTTGCCTCTCATAATTGCACATTTACTCTATAATGGTCCAAGTGAGCATTTACCCAATTATGGATAAAAAAAAAACTTAGGTAATCAACCTAGAAAGAACTTGTCAGTGTTCTATGAAGAAACCACTGTGGCTTGTTCTATGTATTAAATGTGATGGGGCTGGTTTTATTTCTAGTTCTTATGTGGAAAGGATCATGTTTCATATTAGTTAACAGAATTTCAAAAGTTGGGTTGTTTTCAACATTTCCTTTTGTGTTTACAAACTGTATATACATAAACAGAAAGTGTATGCTAAATGTATAATTCAAAGATACCTTAGATATCTAACCTCATTACATTATAAATCAATGTGTATCGCAATAATAAGTGTCTCACCATTTCAGTGTGTCCCAATTCAACACCAAGGCTTCACCTCTGGTGCTTACACATGCAGATGTCATCCAGGATACTACTTCCCCAACTCAACAGCAGCCTCTAAGTACTACAATGGTTTAACCCTAGAAGCAGAATACCTGCGTATGCTGGAAAATCGGTTGAATCACTACGATGCAGACGCTGCTTTCCAATGTCTTCCATGTAGACATGGTTGTAAGCAGTGTGACGATGATTCAACATGCTTGGTAGAGTCAAACATATTACTGCGTGGAGTTCCACTAGGAATACAGAGCTTCTGTATGACTGTTTCACTCATCATTGCTTTTATCATCGTGCGTCTTAGAAAAACAAAGGTAAGTTCACAATTGATGTATTCATCAAGAATTTACTTACCAGTCTATAGTTAATGGAATAAAGGCAACTAGGATCTGCAAAGCTGGGGATTTGAGAATTAAATTGCAACTTGATTTGCATGGGTTTCTCAACAACTAGATAGTCACAGCTTTTGGCACTAACTGTGGCGAAAAAACTTTTACATGTTCAATAATCACCATATCTTATCAAAACATTTTTCGGTGTTTTACTGAACATTAAGTACATATACGGTTATAGCTACCATAATAGGGGATAGATAGTCTGGCAAGGAATGTCCTTTTAATAAGAGTCTGTAATAGGCTTAAAAACATTTTTACTGTATATAAATGTTGTAAAATTGGCAAAAACGGAGGTAAATGTAAGAATTTCATATCAATTTGAAAAATGTTGGTAAGAATACTGAAGTGTAATTAACAATAAAAGACGTCTAAAAACTAAGGGGTATTAAAGACATTCTTATATGGGATATTAAGGCCAGCAATATTAATTTAAGACAACGTGAATCCACTAAGATTAAAGTATACTAAACGAATCAAATCGGCTTACATAACGTGTCCGACAGAATCACTGAAACTTAGATTACTTAGAGAATAATATCTGCAATAATTTTCTAGTTCAGTAATCTGAAAGCCAGGGAAGGAAACTCAATTACCAGAATTTTGTTGAATAAATTTGATATGCACCACAGTTTCAGTGCATTATTTCCATATTAAACACATAAATATGACTGTAGCTGATTGGTCAACGTTCTGTGTGTTGTGTGGTATCTTATTAAAGATCCTCCTTTGATTCAAACAGCTGTTTATTTGGACAATCAGCAATAAAATATATATCAAGAAAAGAAAAAATGTGGAATTTTTATATTTTGATCTGTTTTTCTCAAAAGTAGTTGATTCAATTTTTCATTTTTGTATTGCCATAATATATTATTGGCGATGGTCATTCATTAACTTTGGTAGAATGAATTCTTCTGAAATATCAGGATGGGTGTGGCACATCCATTACAGCATGTCACTTCTTGTTGAAGCATAACTCAATAAATTTGAAAGATGCATATTTTCAAAATGTCTAACAATATTTCCCTTACAATCTGATGTATTTTAGTATGTGAAGAGCAGAAAAAATCAGGTCAAATAGAGGTCATTAAAAATTTTCAATGGAGACTATCAATATTCATTAGAATTAAAAGAAGGTCTATTTTTTCATAAGCATTGTCCAATAAAGTCAAAATCAGATCCTTATCATAAAATAAGGTCAGGAATGTTTGATTCCTAGAATATTCGGATCACATAAAATGGGAGCAAAATATTGTAAAATCTTTGACCTTTAATTAAAAATTTATTCTCGACTGTTACCTCTTTAATATCAGTTGCAACAGGATTATATAAATATCTCAGGTCAATGATAACTATCTGAGCTGTACATGAATCATAGTGTGCAGCCAATCAATAATTGAATGCAACTCAATGAATTATGTCAATAGTTGTCAAAATAGGATCATAATGTGCTTCAGAATATCATTAATACTGCTTGTGCTGACTTTAAATTGATGCTTAATTTAATCAAGGCGATCTGAGGGGATTTCATCCCTTCTGAATTTGTGGTTGAAAAGCAATAGTAAAGCACTTCAAAGGTTTATGAAGATGAGAAAGTACTTGAATTCTCTTTTTGGTTTATCATACTAACTATAGCCATTTTTACTTGAACATGATACTATTTTTTAATTTCTGTTTTTGTTTATATTGCTAATACATTATTATACAGATTAATATTTGATGTTTTATCTAGAATTGAAATATCCTAACATAACTTTCTTGGATGATAAAAAAAGTACATGGCAAGAAATATTAAACCAACATATATTTCAAGAATGTGGCATCTGTTTGAACAGGTATCTATGGATTGTATTAACCCCAAAGAGAAGAAGCATCTCTAAGACTATTTAGTGCAAAGTGAAACCTGTATATCTGAACACCTCTTGATTCTGAACACCTCTCAATGTGAACACTTTTTCAGTCTCAAATTTGTAATCTCCCATTGACCTTCATGTATGTGTTGAGAAAACATTGAAATGTGAACATCTGCTAATCAAAACACTTTTTGGCTGATCCTGAGGTGCTCAGATTAGGTTTTACCGTATATGTTTATATGTCTGTAAGGAAGGGAAATTTGACATTTTTCATGATGAAAAAATGTAATACATATCATGTCAAAGATGATTTAAAGATTTTGTGAAAAGTCATACAGCCAGAAAGCAAAAACCTGATAGAAAAACATTAATATGAAAAAGCACATTTCGATTTATTAAAATTTGGCCATAGTATAGTGGCAATGTGGCATACATATACAGCCTGTAGATTTATGGTTTATTATGATTTCAATGGTTGACTAAATGTTATTGACATATGGTAAATCAGGCATTTACCCATTGAAACATATTGAGAAGACAAAACATGAAATCTCGAAATCTCAAGGTTACCACAATCTGATGCACTGTGTTTACAAAAATGAGGATGAATATATATGGACATGTGTATACTTAAAAATTTAAGAATTAGTATACACAATAATGTATTTGAGCAAATTTTGCTTTGTATTAAGATGTATATCTTGTTAAAATTATGTTGAAATGACATCTCCAATTATCAATTTTTTTTCAAAAACTCTAGAACTAAAGGTCTAGGAGAGGGGCTATTAGACACTGTTTCTTTTCATGTTGGATTATGATCAATTTTGGATATTTGGGGTTTGTTTTCCTTATGACTGATACACTCATTTTGATGTTTTCTATTTGTTGCTGTATTCTGCAACCATTTTTGGTACTTTCCCATTGGCACTTGCACATACATATTTAACCTCATTTCACCTTCATTTGATCAAACTGTTCAATCTGGCATAAATTATTCTTGCATATTTTCAGGTCATGAAAGCTAGTATGTGGGCCATGCTTGAAGTCTTAATATTTGGGTCACTTCTGCTATATGCAACTGTAAGTATGTAATTTGCTGATGGCTTTTTATTACTAACAGAGGCCATAACAATCTCTAGAGGGCATTCAATAAGTAATGATCAAAATGGTATATTTTCTTTGCTTTCCTAGAAATTCAGCTCATTTAACCTAAAGTGTTTTAATACTTAATATATTTTTGTCTTTGTTCTTTTATGGCAATTATATTCCCCTAATACAAAGTATTGCTCTCTTTGAAGAAAACAATTTTCTGGTTCGAAGGAAATGTCTTATGTACAAATAATTAGCCAGGTGGTGCGAAAGATCCCCTGTAGAGACTATATCAAAAACATCATATGAAGCTATCATTTTCTGTTGGTAGATGCCTTTACATAACCATAGGGCACACCAAGTGAAATTATCGCCATTTGTGTGACTTCACTATACCTGCTAGTTGCATATTAAATAGTTTACAAACCATATATGCAAAAAATATCACCCCATCAAATATTACACACTGTGCTAGTATACAATTTTTGTTTTTCAAACAACACTCTTCTGGCTTACTGACTCAATATATTCATCAGATAGTTCTGCAACATTTATTGTCCTACTGTTGGTATTAGCTTCGTATTGATTTTTGTAAAAGAGTATCATAAGAGTCCAAGGCCCTTATAGATTATTTCAACCTGACATATAATCATTCTGTCCTATCCTCTATCCAACGATTTAATATGAATATGTGCATATTATATATACCCCATCTAGTTTGTGCATGTTATCATCCATATGTATACATGTGTTAGGTTCATATCAAGTTTTATAAAACACTTGTACAACCTGAAATATTTGGAGGATAAGGTTAAGCTCATGTATTCCTTAATTCAATGATCATATATTGATCATCTCTTCACTGCTGGGATTAAAGCTTGAGTTAGCTAAGGAAGGGAGGAAACCAAAACATGGTAAATAGAGAATACCTCTAAATGTACTGGCAGATCTAGGGTAGAGCCAGATCCCCCCCCCTCCCCCTTTCCCCTAAATTGGGCCTACACATAGTCCATGTTTTTTTAAATTAAAACACCGTTTCTTGACTTCTAGCTCATTCGCTCAGTAATTAAGATTGACACCTAATTTTTCTGCCCAAAAAGTGGCAGCCAGACAATAATTCTTCAACCATCTGAAAAAACAAATAACCATTTCATAATATCATATGTTATAACTGGCAATACATTTTCCAGTATTTTGCAATACTATTTTGCAATTACGAATGTTTACACATTTAAAAATTGCATCTCCTCATAACTATAGTATTTGGAAAAACAATTAATTGTTTTACATTTACATAATATAATCCTTACATTTAACATAATATAAGTCATAAAATATCCATTAAATAATTGAATAAGTTGTTCAAAATAAATGCTAGTTTTCTGGAATTTTAATTAATATGCTGTCGAGCCAGGCATATGTTCATCAAAACATATTTGAATATCATTGATAGAGGCAGATGAGACAATACCACACCAACATTTTTCATGAAATATTTTTAGACTGAAACTGAAAATTATGTCAAATACGAGGAGTAATTACATCATCTTTCGCCTAAGGTTTGCCTTGCTCATTTGATTTTACCTCATCTATTTGAATTGGCCTCACCTACATGTATTTGAATTGGCCTCACCTACATGTATTTGAATTGGCCTCACCTACATGTATTTGGATTGGCCTCACCTACATGTATTTGGATTGGCCTCACCTACATGTATTTGAATTGGCCTCACCTACATGTATTTGAATTGGCCTCACCTACATGTATTTGGATTGGCCTCACCTACATGTATTTGGATTGGCCTCACCTACATGTATTTGAATTGGCCTCACCTACATGTATTTGAATTGGCCTCACCTACATGTATTTGAATTGGCCTCACCTACATGTATTTGGATTGGCCTCACCTACATGTATTTGGATTGGCCTCACCTACATGTATTTGAATTTGCCTCACATATTTCATGTAGAAAGAATTACATATTGATTAATTAGAGGTTATGTCACTATCGTGGCATATATGCCCGAGGTCTCAGTGATATATGGCCCGACCTTGGGAGGGACATTGATCTCTGAGAACCGAGGGCATATGTGCCACGATAGTGACATAAACGATTTATAACATACCTATGATGATGTAGACTGGTCAGAGATTACCGTTTTCTTATAGAATTGACAAACAAATGGTTTAAAAATGATTGAAATGAGTTTAGAAAAATTGCTCGCGCAGTTTTATCTTCGATTGATTGGTTATGACGTCAGCGCCTTGACCAATCAGAAAGTTAGCGGGCGCGGGCTTTTCAAGACTTATATTGGCCCGCTGTCTTGTGTACACTTTGCACTATACATCATCAAAGGTATGTTATAAAGAGTTTTATTCTTCTGTACTCTATTTTCTAGGTTGTAATTCAATACTTTGAGCCTGATACTACTACCTGTCTACTGATACCCTGGTTTAGGGAGATTGGCTTTGCCATAGTCTATGGTGCATTGCTTCTTAAAGTTTATAGGTAAGGTTTATTAGTACGTTTTTAAAACTTATAGGTAAGGTTTTCAAAGCTTATAAGTATGACTTTTTAAACTTCATTAGTCAGGCATAAATTAAATTTCTCAAAAACCTCCCATTAAATAACCTCCTTATATGTTGAACATTTTTTACCACAATGAATGTTCAGCATTGGAAGTTGTCCACTACAGAGAAGGTAATTTATACAGAAGTCAGTAAAGTATATGCAAAGGATGCATATCCACTAGAGACAGGTTTTCACTAGAGAGGTATTCACTAAGACAGGTTTTTATTTACTCTATTCCTTAGGAGTTGCACAAAAATCAGTCTAAGTTCATCCCTCTCTACATTCAATCTTTTGCTCCTTTCAGGGTGCTAGCTGAGTTCCAGTCCCGGAAGGCACGACGTGTACATGTTCGAGACAAGGATTTGCTCAAGTACCTGCTAGGAATAGTGCTCATTGTAGTAGGCTATATGGCTGCTTGGACGGCTGTCAATGTAGATCATGTACAGGTAAAAGCATGCCATGTAATAGATCATATACAGCTAATCAAGGTGGAGTTTGTACTTGGTGTAATGGACAAAGGAAATTAGGATTTCTGATATTGTTAAATGCAATATGAACATTTCTGAAGTATTCTGAGTCTAAAAATATCTAATAGTGGAATATTTTTCATATTCTCTGATATGCAGGTGTGTTCTATGAATAACAGGTGCTTAACTTATTACTAATAAAATATCTTGTGCAGGCAAAAACTCATGTAGATTAGCATGTCATATATCAGGTATACTATACCAGTTCTCCATCACTTGTAATGAAGCAAATAACAGCTTTAATTGTGCTACAGCACACTTTTTGAATATATTTGGAATAAAGATTATTCATTGTTTTGTATTATGCCTTACAGGATGGAGCAAGTATATTACAGAATGGCACCACACCAGAAAATGTGACTTACTTCATATGTGAATCTCACTGGTGGGATTATGTTATTGAAATAGGTAAAACTATGTTTGAAGTTTCGTTCCACAAATGTACATACATTTGTTTCAATGAGTATACAGTTCATATATGTACATGTACATATATGAATTCATAAGTTAAAACTTTCCTTGTCAACGAAAACGATCTTGAATTAATCTTAACTTTAATTATAGAATCTTTAAAAGAATCTTTATTTTGTTCCCCTGTACTGTATATGTATATGCATCAATGTTTATTTTGACAATATAAACGTTTGTCAATTAAGATTGATTTCTCATTGTTTGTGTCACCCTTACGAAGATTAATTTGGAATAACTAATTATTTTTGTGACCCCATATAACATAAAGTTTATTTTAAACAGGTGAATTTTTGTTCCTTTGTCTGGGAATCTATCTGTGCTACTGTACAAGGTCTGCCCCATCAGACTACAATGAGAGCAGGTATATCTCCTGGGCAATCTATAATGAAACTGTAGTATCAGCATTAGTTCATATAACAAGGTAAGTTTACATTTATAAAAGCAGTGATCTCCCCAGCATTGAAGCAAGTGGGTGCAGCACCCTCTTGAGATTTTGGCTTGCACCCACCTGAAAATCAATTTGCACTCACTTGAAAATCAGTAAAATCGTTAAAAATTGGCATATTTTCACCAATTTTAGTCTGAATTGTGAAAATGATAATTTTGCACACACTTGGGAAAAATCCAGGGGATATCACTGAAGAGTTCACGTAACACATGGCACATTTTATTCCATTGAAGATCGCAGTAAAAATTGCATTTTAATGGTTGTCATGATTTGAACTTAATACATACTTTGGATGATCATGGTCTGTTTTATTCGATATTAATGTAAACAAATTGACTAATATGGAATGGACATCCACAGCCGGTGTAATATTTGATCATATGATTAACAATGTGAAATCTCAATTGATAAAAAATGCAAAAGAAAAGAAAACTGGTTGTACAAGTAGATCAGTAACCAAATGTTTTCTCTTAAAGTTTTCAAAAATATCAACTTATCGATCCATTATAAAATGGAGCTGTTCTGTTCTGCCTTAAATTCATTGATAAAAATTAAAATAAAATAAAAAATCTTTGATGTGCATGTAGCCAGGAGAATTCTCTTCAAATTATAAAAATTATGACAATGCAAGCATTCTAACCATTAATAATTTGCCATTGCTTAGCATGAAAGACAATGGAAAGTCAAAAATTCTATACTTCATACAATTCTATTTCAGGCATTTCCTATGGTTAAGTATGCATCCTGACTATATATTCCTCATGTATTTTGTACGCTGTCAGCTCACAGTCACTACCACAATATGCTTAGTTATAGCACCTAAGGTAAGTCTATATACATTCCTCATGCATTTTGTACGCTGTCAATTAACAGTCACTACCACAATATGCTTAGTTATAGCACCTAAGGTAAGTCTATATACATTCCTCATGCATTTTGTACGCTGTCAATTTACAGTCAATACCACAATATGCTTAGTTATAGCACCTAAGGTAAGTCTGTATACATTCCTCATGTATTTTGTACGCTGGCAATTAACAGTCAATACCACAATATGCTTAGTTATAGTTCCTAAGTTAAGTCTATATAAAGTCCTCATGTATTTTGTACGCTGTCAATTTACAGTCACTACCACAATATGCTTAGTTATAGCTCCTAAGGTAAGTCTATATACATTCCTCATGTATTTTGTACGCTGTCAATTAACAGTCACTACCACAATATGCTTAGTTAAAGCTCCTAAGGTAAGTCTATATACATTCCTCATGTATTCTGTACGCTGTCAGCTTAGTCACTACCACAATATGCTTAGTTATAGCACCTAAGGAAAGTCTATATACATTCCTCATGTATCTTGTACGCTGGCAATTAACAGTAAATACCACAATATGCTTAGTTATAGCACCTAAGGCAAGTCTATATAATCGTGGTATCTGTCAGCTTACAGTCACTACCACAATATGCTTAGTATAGCTCCTAAGTTAAGTCTAAATCCAGTCCTCATGTATTTTGTATGCTGTCAATTAACAGTCAATACCACAATATGCTTAGTTATAGCACCTAAGGTAAGTCTATATAGAGTTTGGAGATATTTTTGTAGAATACAGTGAAACCTGTAAAGTGGGACATATCTAGAATTGGAACACCTCTGTAAGTGTAACACTTTTCAGAGTTCCAAGGCCAACAGACTTAATGTTAAATGAACCTCTAAGCTGAACACCTCTCAAGTAGAACACTTTTTAAAAGCACCAAAGGATAAATTATTTTTTTAATTAACTCATTAAAAGTTACACCAACATGAATGTCTTAGTAACTGTACATTTCAAGGGAAGATACAAATATGCAAGCTTATGGTATGGTCACATATGCTCCGATCTTCAACTCCAACACCCAGCCGATAAGTATATTGTTCAAAACTAAATGTAATTTTGAACAAAATACTCATTGGCCAGGCATCAGTACTGAAAATCTGAGTAAATGTAACCATGGCATTATTCAGTCTGAAACTTCCCACAATAACTCCATCTCATTTCCAGTTATGGTATGCGCATAAACCTCCAGATGAGGATAACTTTCGGGCTAGAGCTTTTTCCCAAACTGATGTTCATGAAACGATTCTACCAGAAACCATGAAGCTTCACGTTGGAGTCTCATCTAATGGAGATGTTGATATTGGAGACGTGAATCTCTCAGAAATGGACCCTGAAGATATAAGGGTTAGTATGAAGGTGGTCATTTACAACAGTTCACACTGTGTTCCCAGAGAGTAGCAATTCCCCCAGGGGATAATTTACCAAACAGTCAAACAGATCATTAACAAAAGTGCTTTTAATGCAATATTTAGACTTATTACGTGCTGTCCTGTCTGTAGTAGCCAAGCTATACCTTCCCATATTTAAAAAGTTATTTCAATTTTTGAGCCAAACGAAAAAAAACATCATTCATAATTAATGTCATTCTAAGATGACATTCAACTGGATTGAATTGGGTCTTAAAAGCTTCTAACGAGCCTTCCTTTAGAAATATTTTATTAAATGAATATATTTTGACATTCAGATCTTTAATTGCTTGGAAGAGTGCTTGTTTAGCCTCCTCAAAGCCCCTTGGATCAACAACATAATGACATACTCATCTTTTTGGGTCTCATGGGGCCCCAAGCATGACATTAGCTTTAGAGATTTGAACTGCAAACCAAATTAAGATTCCCACATGCTCGATTATGCAGACCTGTAGACCTGCATTATGGAAATAAGCAAAAGGTCATCTCAGACAGACACTCTAATAATAAACAATTTGAGTTTGGGCCAAAATAATGTCATCCTATATCTCCATTGTGAATACAGACATTGGTATACTTTTAAAATAAAGAAAATGTATATGACATGACTACAACTGATACAAAAAAAATTAATGAGAAAGAATGATGCATGGAATTTCATATCATGAAAGTTGTCTTTTCAAATTCTCTAAGCTTCAACACTTAAGCCATAGAATGCTTAAATTGATGCATTTAAGCTTACACTTTGTTATTCAATCCAAAAGAGTAATTTCTTTTGTATATTCAACTATTGATACAGGGTGACACAAAAAATGAAACCTACCCATATAATGTTACATGACTTTTTTGTTGGCAAAAATTCTGACTTCTCTTATCACACCTAACCATCGACAATGTACAATGACAAAATACACTGTCATACACTTTTACACTACGGTGTCACTAGTCTAACTGATATGAAGCAAAAAGATGATGTGGGTGTGGTGTAGGTTTTAAAAATTAATCTGAGGAATACTTAAGGGATTTTATGTTTAATTTCGTGTGTATTCTTAAGCCTTTCTAATTCCATGAAAAGATTTTTGGGCAGTGCTCAACATTTTTCGTAGTAAATCTACCCACCAACAATGATCGGTTGGAAAATGTTTGTTTTTTACATTTCCTTTGCTAATTTTTTCCCCTGTCGCCTAAGAGTGTCGATTATTTTTATAAGAATATGTTTCCCAAAGTTACATAATTAAGGTCGGTTGAAGATTTAATAAATATTCACGTTTTTGATAAAATAATAAAAATAAAAAAATCATAAGTATACATTGTCATCTCGATGTACGTTGTCCCATTGAACTTACGATATATGTCTATGTCTATGTCAATAATCCGCAAAAGGCTAATAAGCCCATATAAAGCAGATATATAATTTAACAGTGATAGAATTTGAATATAATATAATTTAAAACCTTAACATTTAAAAATAGATCTATGGTTTACAACTTATTTTACCTGGGGAGACTGTCAGGCTAACCGCGTTGACATCACCCCTCTTTACCAGTAGTGCAGGCTTGTTGCTGTGCACTGGGGACCCTTTACATTAAAACATAGATCTATATTAAAAACACACCTATTTAATTGCAGTTATTGACATAGGCATAGTATGATGATTTAAAACTACTTAGACTGTCACAGTCTAAGATGTCACCAGGTAGAGTGTTCCATTTAGCTATTGTCCTAGGGAAATAGCTAAATTTGTATGCATCCGTTCTAGTTGATGGTTGTATGAACTTAGAAGGATGATACAACCTAGTGTTGGTATTGATCTGTTGGCGGAAGTATGGAGGCACGTCGATGGCTGCTAGGTTCTGCTTTCCTTTGTAGAAAAGGAAAACTCTAGCAGCCTCTCGACGCTCCTTCAGTGGCTCCCACTGTAGGTCTTGAAGAGCTTTGGTGACGCAGCCTGGTTCCCTTGAGTGACATTTGGTTACAAATCTGGCTGCTCTTCTCTGTACCTGTTCCAACATATCAATATCTTTTTGTCGGTACGGATCCCATGCCGAGCTGGCATACTCTAAATTAGGCCGGACTAGTGACTTATACGCCTGAGCCTTCACTTTTTCAGGGCATTGATGGAGGTTGCGCCTGAGAAATCCAAGCACCTTATTGGCTTTGGATACAATAGTTTGAATATGTGTAGTCCAGCGTAAGTTATCTGGCCTATCTTATCTGAATTCACAGTTAACCCTTATGTAGACAATGTATTTTTCATTACAGTAAGGGGCAGGGGGATCAGATTTATTTAAAAACTGAAACGAACAATACTGTATACTGAACAATCCAGTATTACTAATTCAACTTGATTGAACTATATTGAACCTCTGCACTTTCCTCTGCATAAACTGGATTTCGAAATTTCGATTATCTAGTATAGATCTCTCCATGAACTGACCTTAAGATTATTAAAATTCATAAAAGTGCAACTTAACGCAACATACCGACGCCGAATGGTCAAAGAGGTTGGAAGATAACATCCCATGGTCAAATATTAATCCCCATATCAACACTTTCATAAAATAAAATAGTATTCAACAAGAGGTACAAAGTCATGTTTACCTGTTTATTTGTACCAGGGATACATGAACATGTTCATTAGACATCACTTGTTACTCATAACCCTGAATGCGTTTGGAAAGTAATCATTGCATTGTATACATTTCAATTACAGGGACAACGTACATTGGAGATGACAACGAACATTTTTGATTTTTTAAATTATACCAAATACATGAATATTTATAAAACCTTCAACCATCTTAAATTGTGTAGTTTAGGGAAACATATCCTCATAGAAATATTCGGCACTCTTAGACGACAAGGGAGAAAATGATCGAAGCAAATGTGTAAAAAAAATCAATTTTTCCAACTGACCAATTGCATGGGTAGATTAACACAGAAAAAATCGAGAATCGAAAATCTTTTAACGTAATTAGAAAGGTAAATGTCTTCCAAATCGAATACACACGAAATCAAACATGAAATCCTCTATTATGCACTCCTCAAATTAATTTTTGAAAACTACAATCAAACCTACATCATAGTTTTCGCTTCAAATCAGTTAATAGTGACACTGTACACCTAAAGTGTACGACGGTATATCTTGTCACTGTACATTGTCAATGGTTAGAGTGCTTAAGCCACATTAAAACTAGCATCCATGGTGCAACTCCACAAGAAGTTTCCGATGACTAGCTCAACTAAATGCAGATTCATGAACGTTACAATATGTGCTGTCTATTCCTTTACAGGCACACCTGGATTTTACACAAAAATGACACCCACCTTTTGAAACATTATTTTGGAAAAAAGTTATGATTTCATCAATGACAACTTTATCATTTTGTGATTAATTGATTGGCCTTTCCTTCCCTGAAAGCACAAACAGAAATCGTTTCTACAAAATTATGTAACAAAAGGTAGATGGCACTTTTGTGTAAAATCCAGGTGCGCCTGAAAAGGAATGGGCGATATTAAGAGTAAATCTTGGAACACTCATAAAATTTGACCAACTTGAGCTACACATCTGAAATTTTTCACATTATGTTTTCTTTAAATGTGCCAAAGGACAAGTCTATATGTTAAAGACAAACAAGTTATGCAACGTATAGTGGGTGTCATTTTTTGTGTCACCCTGTACATCTTTTGTGCCACAGTGGTTTTTGATAGCTCGCAAAGTGTCTATTCTTTAAAAACAATAGAAAGAAAAGAATGTACTCTTTATACAACTTTACATTCAGTTACAACTGTTTTAAAATGTGATTAAGCTATCTATAATATATTAAATTGTTTAATTGTTTAGACCTCTAAACCTAAAATTCAAGATTCTTTGGTGTCATATCATACTTCAATAGGCCAACTGAGTTCCCTGCAAAATACTTACATTGATAATTATACTAATTGTTCATTGTTTCACATTTCCAGTCCGAACTAAAAAGACTATATACACAATTACAAATTTACAAAACTAAGACTATGCGCAAGGACAACCCCCATATTTCCAAAAGGCGGGGTGGTCGCAAGCAAACACATAGGAGATTCTCTCTACAGGCATTCCATCATAAGCACAGACACCACCATGACCATGAGCATGAACATGAATTGTCTAAAACTCCTGAGGAGAGTACAAACAGCGCAGAAGGAGTAGCTATTGCATTTGAAAATGCCTCTAAGGCTACCATAGAGGAGGGAGGACCAAGCCACAGTACTGGACCTACTGTAACTTTTAAACCAGGTCATCATAAGTCAATCAGCTAGTCAACATTATAGCTACTATTACCATGGCTAATCAGGTCAGGTTTTGAATTTTCAAAATGAACAATACAGTACAGTATTGATAAGTCATACTATCATCCAATTGGAATGGGGAAGATTTGCATGCTATATGGAGAAGCAAGCAGACCAAGAAGACCTCATTCAAGGTACACTATTGTAATATTCTTGGTAACTGCTCTAAAGAAACATCACAATACTGTGACATCAAACAGTTAAAAATAGTATTTTCTTGGTATTTCTAATAAACATATCTTGCTTCCCATAGCGGACAAATATTTCGCTCCATTCCGACCCTGTGGCTGTTATCATAACTAAGAGCTAATGACAGAAACAATGAAAATATATTAGCTTGAAATTCAAGTATGCCAAAGTAAACAGGAGTACAGTAAGACTTGTATTAACTCACTTCTATCACATAGAATATGCTTGCTATGGACAGACCTAATGTGTTGAATCAAATGTCATTAGGCCATTGCAGATATTGAATGAACTAGTCAGTAAAATATTGTCAGTAAAAATAGAAATATATGGATCAAAATTTCTCATAAGGCACTAGATTAATGGGCTTTTAGTGAAAACTACCGTATAATCTAGTGGAGTAAAATGTACGAATGTACATGGTAACAAACTAATGATAAGACTTGATAACACTGGCATTGAGTCATGCTAATGCCATGGCCACATTTGCTCTGATTTTCAGTACCATCGCCTGGTCAATGAGTATTTTGTTCAAAATTGCATTCTGTTTTGAAAATCGGGCAAAATGTGACCATGGCATAACTAGGCTTTCGAAAACAAAGGTTCCATATTAATGTTCAAAACATGGTAATTGCCAGCTTGACAATAAGTCCACTTCCAATTTTAAAAAGTAACTGAATGTGAGGCATTCAAATGCTATTCAAAACACAAATGTTCAAAATTTCTAAAGCCACATCCATGGCTTAAAGTGATATTCTAAAAATCTTTAAAAATAATTTGGGAATGGATTTAAATTGTTAAGAGGACTTTGTTAATATAAGAAAAGAATCTAAACTTAATCTAGGGGATTTGAAATATGTAGACTAATTTCCAAATGATTTTATTTTGATATCAATCTTTAATATACAAAATGTTAAAAATGGTACCCCTGCCTTATACAGCTATAGTTAATAACAACAGAAGTGTTATTTATAAATTGTTTCCTAAACTTCTTGTACATTTTATAAAATAAAGAACATTAAGATGCAATATTTTACACAACTAAAATGCACAAGAATCAACTACATATAACTTATATATACATTTTAACATGTACCATTGTTTTCAACCTTATAAATACTCAAAGATCAACTTTTAAATTACTTTTATAAATGAGGTAAAAGTGCTATTATGGTACTGTTCTAAAACTATATGATTTAGACTAAATTCTCTTTCTAATTGTGATACACAAGGTGTAACTCGTACTGAAAATAAAGAATGAATTTGGTAGTTCAACCCATCACTGTGAAGAAAGAAAAGTCCATAACAATCATTACAATGGATGGATCCAACTAATCATAATAACAACCTGGAATCATATCAACATAGGTTTAACAGACAAAAATATCTTACCTATTTTTAGGTGCAATAAAAACAATATTAGGTATCATGGGCTTCCTAAAAACCCATAAGGTCAATAAATAGGTATTATATTCAAAAAAGTTTCCAAAACTTTTAACAGACTGTACTGCTTCTATACCTACATTGATTCTGGAGAATAATATGGATATGTTCCCTAGAGCACATTTTACTCTATATGGAATAAACTAGAACAATCCAAATTAATATACGAAAAGTTGCTACTTTGCAGATGATATCACCTCTACCAATTTTGTTAGTTGCATCCATTAAACAAATGTAACTTTTGTTATGGACTTGGGATACCCCGCAGTGCGCAGTTACATCATGTCCAGATGCAGAGACTTTGAATAATTTCATTTCCAAGTCTAGCAGATGTGTAGCATTAGAGAGGTTTCGCATTATGGGTTCTGGTTTTATCCCCATTCATATGCCTTAAATATCAATCTTCCTTCTGAATATGCACTTTAGATGATTTCAATACTGCCAGGGACAACTATGGTCAGCTTTGGAAAAACTACAATATCTTGTATTAAAGGGACTTCTAAAACCTGGAATGATATAAAGTGATATGTAAATGATCACCATATAGAAGCATCATTGTGCCATTGTGACTGAAATATCTCACCATAACCACTTGTTCTACCTGGTAATACACATAAAGAGGTGGTATGTCATTTGCAAACACGTGGTCAATGCACTAGTTTTTTATTACCATGCTCATTCGAAACCTCTCTACTACAGGTGTATTCTCTGAACTTATATTCTATTTAAAATTAGTGACACTGCGATAGGGAAGTTGCACTGAAGTTGTACATTGATATGAAAATGAGATGTTATCATTTTCATCATACACCTGCATACATGCATGTTTATATTATACTTTTAGACAGCCAATGTTATCATAAACAGGGTCCATGACATGAATCAAAAATAACTAATGATAATGTGTGACATTAAACATGCATGTCTAATTTCATAATCTACAGGTTGTCCATAAGGCCTCTTTACAATTACAATCCAAAGATTATGTAAAGTGTAAAGAAACTTTAAGGACACCCTGTATTTCATTTTTATTGCATAATATTCTACTAAGGGAGCAAATATAACATCTAGTTTGCTATATATTTGATGCATTTATTTCAAATCCTGAGAATATATAGGTCTTTTTATCTCGAATGCTGTGTATTTAATAGAATGTTATATTATGTATATATCATAATGTATTTGTAACTAGAATGACATATTTGTCAGTTGAAGTATATACAATTATTTCACTTCAGATGTACATGTATTAAATACAAGATGTGTATATATATTACATTTGAGTGATCTTATAAAATGATGTTTTGATTAAAATGCATTTTAAGTTTGTCTTAATTCTTATGTCCATATGAACCAATGGCAAAGGATCTGACTGGTGCATCAAAAAGGTTTGCAATTTTGACTCTATCGCAATAACTATATTGAGTTATGTCCTCATATTTGGCACATGCATTGATCATACATTTATAAAATTTGGAGACTGGTTTTTTATTTGTTAAGAAAATATGGTTATCACAGCATCAAAGGAATTATTGCCCACAAACAATTCAAGTGAGACTCAAACTCCTGAAAACTTGAAATCAATCCAGTCAAGTTAAATTAGAAATGTGATTTTGGAACAGCTATCTGAAAAATTCAAAATGGCCACCTCGTTATTGATCCAGCTTGTCAAGATACTTAAAAGATCTAGATCCTCATTAATTGAAATAGACAGTTTGCTTGAAAAGGATATTTCACTCAATATGTGCCAACGATATGTATATTGTATAACTAATATGATGCCAGGGTTTTCCAGAGGTATCTCATCACAATCTAAACACCAAGTGAGAGCCCTGTATGTATAGGGTGTTTCATATGCATGCATCCCCTATAAAATCATATATGTAGCATTGTCACCCTATCATGTTATATATTACTTTGTTCCTCATAGAAAGTTACATAACATTACAAAGTTTCAGAATCCAGGGGTGTCATTGAAAAAGATACAATGTATCGAAGTATGTGGGTACGGGGTCATTTAGGGGCAATACCTGATCATTTTAATGGAAATTTTAAGAAAAATTTAGTTTCAGTATTGCACATATCTAGCAGTTGTCAGCATGGTAGAGTTCAGTCAACATGTCTGTGACAGTCATTCACACAGATGCAAAGACAAGATTCATGCAGTGGCTTGTAGGAAGGCCATGGGCAATGGTACCACCTTTATCACTAAAATTGGGTAGCAGGCAAAGTGAACAGATCACTGGGCTGGGTTCAAAAATGCTTATAAAAATACCCACATACTTTGATACATTGTATCTTTTTTCAGGGACAAACTTTGATTTTGAAACTTTGCAATTTTATGTAACCTTAATATAAGGAACAAAATGTTATATAATACGATAGGTGGCAATGCTACATGTATGAGTTTAGAGGGGGGGTGCATACATATGTATATCTGTAGCTAGCAGGGTGTGGCGTAAATTCTTCCATGTCTTCAGGAAGAACAAAATAACACCCAATGCACTTCCATTCAGGTAAATTTCTCACACACAATCAGCAGTCAATACCCCACTTTGGTTCTTGGGTCACATACTTATATTGAGTATGTAATGGTCCCATTGAGATAAGTATTAAGAAATAACAAGTATCTATTTGAGAGTTGAGACCATATTTTCAATTTCAAACAAAATATCCTCATTTCAATCATCTATGCCGATCACATACATGTATGATTGTTGTTATTTGGTGCCACCACATAAGTTTCCCGCTATAACTACGCTCAACTTCAATTAAATGTGTAGAATATTAGATCCATCTTTTAGGTGTGACCAATACCACAAGAAGCATTCAATCTGATACTAATTTGTTTTGGACCCACCTCACTAAAACTACAACAAACTTCAATAATATGTAGAATAATGAGACCCACATTTTAGGTAAAACTTATACCACTAGAAGTTTTCCATCAGAAACTTTGTTTTGGTGCCACCTCATAAGTTTCTCATTAAAACTACACTTATATTAGCTTCAATTAATGTGTAGAACTTATACCACTAGAAGTTTTCCTTCAGAAACTTTATTTTGGTGCCACCTCATAAGTTTCACACTAAAACTACACTATATTAGCTTCAATTAATGTGTAGAACTTATACCGCTTGAAGTTTTCCTTCAGAAACTTTGTTTTGGTGCCACCTCATAAGTTTCTCATTAAATCTACACTTCAATAATATGAAGAATATTGAGACCCATACTTTAAAGTTTAACCTTAGTTATTATCACTAGAAAGCTTTCAATTAGAAACTTTTTATTTTGGTGTCGAAGAATGTTTTGGAAAGATTATGGCTCGCTTAATAGACTGATATCGAGGGTGAAATGTCGGACTCTGGGTCTGGGATAACACATTTTTCCATTTTTTCAAACCTTATTAATTCTCCCCTAGGTCATAAAAAGAATACCTTTCAAGCCAAACAACATTATAATATATTTGGAGTATTGGTCATTATTGTTTTTATTATATTACATAAACATTATGTATTTAGTCATGATTAATGTTACATATAAAAATGAATAATTTCATTACTTCTTCACAAAATACCTCAATTTTATGTAGCCTCAATTTACTGTATAAACATTCATATCCCAAGAAATACCTCATATTATGGAGATTTTCCATGAGTTAATATATACTTACTGATCATGTTTTAGACTAAAAGGTATTGCTTAATTAAAAATAATATTAATATAATGCCAAACAGAGAACTGTAACAGAATTAAGGCATGCAGCTTCCATAAAATAGTCCCTTTGCTAGCAGTTAACCAATCTGTCAAAACTGTACATTAATTTGTTCAATGTAGTTGATACCATGTCTCCAAATACCTATGTACTCATTTAAGGCTACCTCAAAACTTTTTTAATTCTTCACATGGATTTCAGTTGGTGGGTGGAAATTGTTACCAAAGAAAGTGATGTACAATGTACAATGAAGGGCCGAGTTTTTGAAACATCCCTCTCATTGGAATCAACCACCAAACAAATAACTGGGAGTTCTGCATAGCAAAATGGATTCAGATATAAAAGTGAAGTGCAGATTTGACAGATGCTTACTCTACAAGCTTACCTGCAGAACACTTGGACTAGTCTGGAACACCATACCTTCATTCTCCAACATATTCTCTTAGAGTATAGTCTCATATGATATATTGGTCCATACTTATTGATTGACATCTTGGGAAATTGCTGATTGCTGCACACTAATGTCATCTCCAAGAATTGCTGCACACTAATATCAACTCCAAAGAATTGATGCACATTAATGTCAACTCCCAAGAATTGCTGCACACTAATGTCAATTCCAAGAATTGCTGCACACTAATGTCACCTCAGATATCCTTGAAAATCAAAATGCCACACACTACTGTCCATTCCAAAGATCCATGAAAAATACCAATTTGTAATATAAAGTTAAATCAGGATCAGTTAAAATAAATGAATGTTTCAGCGAAAACTCTGCACTGAGGAATGATAATGAACCAATTGTACTGTGAATGTACATGAGTAACTGGCTTTGAAATTAAAAACTAAAAAGTTTGTAGAATCATCATTCTTTCTTGTCCTTTTTCTTCTTCTTTTTCTTTTTCTTTTCACCTGAAGAAAGAACAAACAACTTATGAGAGTTCAACCAATATAACACCACCTGAAAAGTGTAACAATAGTTCGTGAATGAAAAAGATAGAGCTCATTGATCTTCCCACCATTAAATTAAGTGGGCGCAGCACCAACCTGAGACTTTAAAAACAGGTGTGCACCCACCTAAAATTCATTTGCACCCACTTGAAAATTAGGAAATCCTGGAGAACGTTGAAGCTACATAATTTCATAGAGGTTTCACAGCAGCAGACAACAAGTGATTATCTCAATATGTTTTTTCCAAAATAGAACAGGCTTATTCCAAGCCTGTTGTTTTCATTTATATTGCCTTTGTTGAAGAAATCCCAGTTCCCCCAGTATTTTCCTATTTACATACCATCAGTTGTATCATTTAATTCACCACCAGTAGTATCCATTGTAGTATCTGCTGTGGATTCATCTGCCTCTGCCTTTTTGCTTTTCTTCTTTTTCTTTTTAGGAGTCTCTGTTTCTATAAGGTAGTCATATGCATCATAAAGTAGGGTTAAATTATCAATTACAAACATGATTCAGCCCTTTGGAAGTTTTATAATTATGAAAATCCTATATGTTCTGTGAAGCATAATTTGAAAGATCTCTGTATTGCGTAGGTTGAAATGGGAATATACATTTTATATAAATTCACCTTCTGTGGTTGTGTTTAATGTAGAATCAGCTACTGAATCATCTGCCTTTTCTTTATTTTTCTTCTTTTTCTTCTTTTTCTCACTTCCACCTGCAATATGGAATATAATTCTAACACAAGAGCAAAACACATTATGGTTGTGACATAAATACAGATATTTCATATTTAGTGACTGTTCGCAAATTAAAAACCAATGAGTGGAATGAGGTGTTTTGGAAACCAATTTACATGTACTTTATAGACAGGACAGCATTGTAAGTTTTAGCATACTAACCAAAATAAAATAGATTGTGGTAATAATTGTCTTTCTATTCATCCAGTATAATTATCTAGTCATGTGACCAAAATATAGCAATCTTATCCAACATGGCTACAGATGTTCTTCAAATTATATAAAATGTATATAAAATGCAGGCAATAAATATAAAACAGGAATCCTATCGACGGGGGTCTTAAAACGTGGACTGACTGAGCGACAGATGGACAAATCAATTACTAAATATGGCTGATAAAAAAACAGATTTAAATTTTTTGGAGATTATTTCATACTACTCTTTACATAAACATGGATTTTTACATTGCAGGTCACCTGAAATTATTTATAAAGCTACCACATGGTCCAAAAGTGAACTTTGAAAGAAAAAATGGCGGCCATTTTGAAAATAGGCGAGCTTTTGAACCAGGAGTCATAAGAGGTTTTTCTGTATTGATATTGAACAGAAATAACTTAAAACCGGTATCCTATGGACAGAAATTTTAAAACCTGCCACTATTGTTGACAGACAGATGGACAGTCAGACAAGTGAGTGATTGCAATAGCTCATCATGCGAGCTAATAAATTACAGCACATACCTTCTTCCACTATGCCATCAGCTTGGACTTTTATTTTTTTGTGTGTAGGTGTCGCTTCGGTATCATCTGCCTTGCGTTTCTTACTAGAAAGTGTAGAATCAGCACCAGCGTTGTAAGTCTTAATCTCACTGAAACACGATGAAAAACATTTCAATATCATATTTTCACATGAACCTTTCTTTTTTATAAAATCTCTGATTTCTTTGTCAGTCTATGTACTGCATATTAAGAGAAGCCCCTCATTGTCCGCCTTATTCTGTCCTCACATATGTCAGGTGTATCAACAGGTATTAATCATTGAGGCCAGCGACAAAACATTGGCAATCTAAATATGTGTGCTGCAGTGCTAGAGATATACAGTATACATACCTTTTATTCTCATACTTTTCAAACTTTGCCACTTGCTTTCCAGTTCCACTAATGCGTCTTGACTGTAAGCAGAAAAGCAGTTCAACATTAAAATTTTCGAACTTTATTTTAGAAACATGATGGTGTCATTAACATGTACTTGTGCCTCTCATTGTCCGCCTTATTCTGTCCTCAGAAATGTCAGGTGTATCAACAGGTATTAATCATCGAGGCAAATAAAAACTTTTCAATGAAGAAATTAGTTAGCAAACAGTTTTTATTTTCTCTCATACTTGCAAAGAATTACTTCTATGATTTAAAATTGAAATCTTAGCACCATCAACTCAGGTCATCTTGGCATTCAATATTAATAAACCGATTTATCTAGAAAAGTGTATGAAAATTAATGTAAAATATGTTTCACAAGCTCTCCCTGCTAAGATTAAAGCAAATTTTCTAAACTTAAACTAAAGATTTCATGTATCGCAGGTTCAGTATTGTTATCTTTTTAAGTACACATGAAAATTAAGTTTGTCTTTTGCACCTCCCACCCTACATATTAACTTTGAATGGCCAAATTAACACCTACCCCTCCTTCCTCCAGCATTCTGAGTCTGCCTTCAAGCTTTGCTCTATGCTCAATACCAAGTTCATTTGTTGCCTCATCACCAAGGGCATCAACACGGGTTGCTAAGGCAGCCTTAGCAGCTAACATACGGGACATCTAAAACACAACATGCATATACTGAATTAGTAAGAGATTTTGAGAATGAAAATGTTGTATTCTTAACAGATATTGTGTGCCTCTCATTGTCCGCCTTATTCTGTCCTCAGAAAGGTCAGGTGTATCAACAGGTATTAATCATTGAAGCGTACACTGTTACAAAATCTCCAAGGGTCTATAAAAAATCATAATATCATATTTGATGTTAATATTGCAGCTGCCTGAATTTGCCATGTTTAGTATATTTTTGAATAATTCACAAAATTAATCGAATGAAATCTTCAAAAATCTTTAAAGAATTAAAATCAAAATTGCCAAAATTATGCAGAATACATAACAGCATTGTCTTTTTATCCCCCCACCGCCCCAGTAAAAGACTGATTCAGCCTTTAAATTAACCTTTATAATGACATGTGACTAGTTTAAATGACATAATGCCCCTACTAACTCACCTTTCCTTTGTTTTTGGTGGCCGACTGGCCCACTAGTGATGCATGGTAGATAAGACCATATTTGGGGGTGTCATGTTTGGTTTTTAATGCCCTAAACAGTGCCTTCTCAGCTCCTAGAATCTGCACAGTCGATGCTGGGTGCTTAGCTAGATTCACCAATGACCCTGTAGAAACAACAATTGTGATTATAATGATGTAACATCAATGAATTCTGCCTTGCATGAATCTTGTATTGTAGAAGTAAATGAACTTGTAGTAATAATTCAATACATGGCAATGGATAATAAGGCATTTATATGAAAAATGTCGAGGGATGATGTGTAACATTTCATACTTAGAAGAAATTTTGGTAAAACTTATGTCTCAATTACTGACTTATTGACAAAATAAAGGAACTTTTCAACTATTAGAGTATAGGAATTAGCATTGTTAACTTTAAGGTGATATTGCATATTCAAAAATGACGGTATTCACACTTTATATAAACTGTGAATAATTTAGTCAATATTTCACCCGGGTTATATTCGCAAACAATACCCCTGATAACAAGAGTAATGTATGATGTCATAACGGCAGTTCGTAGTAATGGAGGACCATAATATTCTAAACATTTTGGTTAGTTTTCATGTTTGAATCATAATATAAACCTAAGAGCAGGTGTAATATTGTCGAATACATCCCGCGGGGCTAGGCACTCTGAGGTCTATATTTCTTAATATAAATAAATTACAAGAACACAAATGTGTACAATATGTCCCCACCTATGGGTGATCTCGTCAAATGGTTATCCTTAAAATGAGTAGACAAGACTTTACCGACACAATTTGAGGACGGAGAATCCAAAATGCCCACCTTAAAATTTATCAAGAATGCCAAAAAATTAGTCAGTTCTAGATTTTCATACTAAGAACCACCCCTGAAAATTTGAAATTGATCCGTCACACAGTTAACCAGAAAACATGTAAACAAGACTTTACAGACAAGATTTGAGGACAGAAAATCCAAAATGGCTGCCTTGACATTTATCCAGAATGCCAAAAACTAATCTGTTCTAGATTTTCATACTAAGAATCATCCCTGAAAATTTGAAATTGATCTACCAAACAGTTCACCTGGAAATGTGTAGACAAGACTTTACAGACGAGATTTTAAGACAGATAATCCAAAATGGCTGCCTTGACATTTACCCAGAATGCCCAAAAACTAATGAGTTCTAGATTTTCATACTAAGAATCATCCCTGAAAATTTGAAATTGATCTACCTAACGGTTCACCTAAAAACGCGTAGACAAGACTTTACGGGCAAGATTTTAAGACGGAAAATCCAAAATGGCTGCCTTGACATTTATCCAGAATGCCAAAAAACTAATCAGATCTAGATGTTTATACTGAGAATCATCCCTGAAAATTTGAAATTGATCTACCATATGGTTCACCTGAAAATGCGTAGACAAAACTTTAGGGGCAAGATTTTAAGATGGAAAATCCAAAATGGCTGCCTTGACATTTAACCAGAATGCCAAAAAACTAATCAGATCTCAATTTTCATACTGAGAATCATCCCTGAAAATTTGAAATTGATCTACCAAACGGTTCACCTGAAAATGGGTAGACAAGACTTTACAGACAAGATTTTAGGACGGAAAATCCAAAATGGCTGCCTTGACATTTACCCAGAATGCCCAAAAACTAATCAGATCTGGATTCTTATACTAAGAATCATCCCTGAAAATTTGAAATTGATCTACCGAACGGTTCACCTGAAAACGCGCAGACAAGACTTTACAGACAAGATTTTAGGATGGAAAAATCCAAAATGGCCGACAATAAAAAAGTGATTATGAGTTTTTGCTGAAATCTTTTTACAAAATTATCACATATAACTACTGTTAACAATAACATAGGCTTTTACAACAAAGTACACCTGAAATTATTTATAAAGCTACTAAAAAGTTAAAGTATGAAAACTGAAAAACACCATTCAATATGATACAAAGTATTATCGTGCGCTGACTTTTCTTAAAACATTCAAAATGGCTGACATGACTGAGCTAACAGGTCCAAAACCTAATCAGATCTAGAATGAAGTGAGCTGAACAAGATGTTAAAGTTTTAAAAGCAACTGTGAAGCCGTTTTTCTTAAAGTTTGCAGACAAGGATTTCAGCATTTGACTTCAAAATGGCCGACAGGAAGTAGGTATCGAGTTAATTTTTTTTCATCCACATCTGTATGCACTCATAAGTTATCCCTGAAAGTTTGAAGGTGATATCTGTAGCGGTTTTGGAGAAAACTGCCGGACGTACGGACAGACAGACGGACAGACAGACAGACAGACGGACGGACAGACAGACGGACAGACGGACGCGCCTAGGCCGACAATATGGCCCCACACTATGTGGTGGGGACATAAGTGGTGGGGCCATAAAAACGCATTCTTATTTGCGTCAGTGTAACAATGTATCATATCCTTCCTTAGTGACTTAGAGTACTAACCTGCATGTGAGATAAGTCTTGCTCCAACAAGTTCACCAACAAGAACTGTAAGATTGGGAGCTATAGCCAACATACGATTCTTGAGATAATCATACAATTGGCCCCTGTATTCAGAGATCTCCAGAATCTGAAATGTAACACAATTAGTTTGATCATATCACTCTTATTTCAGTCAATAGTTGTTTATCATTTACGATAAAAAGAACACTGAGCAATGGCAAGTAAGACAATTAGGATATAACTAGATGTACATACAATCTATGTCAACCTAAAACATTCAAATTGACCATTGTAAACGACCGTATAACATTTATGAGTGAAGCAATATACAAAACATTAACATGACAAAATGTAGCAACCTTGTTCCAGATACAGACGTTCAATAATATGCTACAGACATTGAAACTAATTGAAATTAAAATGGGTTTATGTTCATTGAAATTAAAATGGGTTTATGTACCTGATCACAGAGATATAGGACATTGGTCATATCCTCCTCTGATACCTCAGTTCCCATGGAGATCTCTGCTGCTTCCTTTACCTCAGCCTCAACCTCCTCTGGTAGGATGCTAGAGAAGTCAGTGGTAGCACAGTTGACCTTGTCACCTACATTACCAAAGCAACACAATGAGCTACCATGGGAACAATAATTTTACCTTTTGTTTTCATTCGCTTTAAGCTTTGTTATTAGAAATCCTAATGAACCCCTCACATTAGCTTGGATTACCCACCAACTATTACATAACATCTTACTAATATCAAATGTGACTTTTTGTAGCATTCAGATTAACAATAAAACATAGTACCTAAAGTGAATGGTGGTCAATTGAACACTAAAAGGTTCTGAACAAGAAATATGTGTTTGAAAATGTGTAGTACATTGTTGTTCCAGCAATGTGTACCACCTATGGAACAAAACTTACCCATTAATTTAAGGCATTTTGCATAGGCTGTATTGTCTGTAATAATTTTGCCTAATTCAGGGAAATGCCACCCGTACCATTCTCTACATCTCATGACATAGTTGTTCAGTTCTTTGTCTAAGTCATCAAGCAAAGCTAAAATTAAAGGGAGGCGATCAATATTTTTTTCATCAACAATTTTTTTAATGAATTTATACGAGATATTGGATCATTCATGATGGGTTCAAAATACCTAAAATCATTGAAGAACAAATCTGAGTAACTTATGGGATTCTGAATTCTTTCAACCCTTATTTTCCAATTTCTTAACTGGGTGCAACAAAGTGAAGTAGAATGTATTCAGTTGCTTCAATCAGAAGGTCATGATCCATAAACATGTGTAACAGTATCAAAATTCTACTTACAGATAGCTTGTACAATCATTGTATCGACTTTCTCCGGACTGAACTTCAGCTTGTAGCGGGACAAACTAAAACACAATATTCCATAATTTATATCATTTACACTAAATCCTGGGTACACAGAGAAACAAAGAAAAAAGTTTAAAGATCAACAGCATACTAATGTTAACCAGCTATTGCCATTATAACATATTCCTTGCAGTGCTCTCCTGGAATTTTTTGTCTGGAGGATTTTGTTTATGTCTTTTGTGCAACGTTTTAGTATTTTGTAATTTTTTGGAACATTTTATGATTTTATAATTTTTTGTGCAACATTTTGTTTGATATCTTATAAAAAATGGAATTAGACATGATGGAGAGACGAAATGGCGGACACGGCAGTTTTAAAACTGAAAATATAATCAATTCTTTTATGCGAACCATGGGTCTGATTTTTACCAGGTATGCCAATTTGACTAGATCACGAGTATATCTTTACATGTGTCAAAATCGGTGGCGCTTAACGGCTATCTACGAAAATCATGTCAGTAAGATCTTAGACTTAGCATGTGCTTAGGATGAATGTTGATCTAGTCAAATCGAATACTTTCACAGTGTTCTCCCTAATTTTTCAAAAGTGAGTGGTGAAAAAGTTTGAATAAAAATTGATGGGTGGTGGCAAAATTATTAGGGTGGTGATAAGTTTACAAAAACGTGCTTAAAAAAAATCAGCGCCGCTTCGCGGCGTTACTTAATTACAATCATTTGCATCAATAGCCAATTGTTATAAATATGCTAAACATTTGTTTTGGTGTTATGTAGACTAATTACATAACATCAAAACAAATGAAATTTAGCACTGTATAATCATCTACTTTAATGACAATCACAATAGGCCATGTTGCAATATAAATGCTCAGAGGTTTGTTTTAATTCAATGTTCAATTTAATATTTATTTCCATAATATAATATAAAGTTCAATATACAAAATAATTTTCAGTATGTGGCCACATATTTCTTCAAATTATTGAGTCCGAAATTCCCGGGAAAATGTGCACACATGTTCATTTTTGTTCAGTGTACTCTTCAAAATCGGAGGCTGTGAGTCCTGACCTAGAAAAAACATGTTTCATTTCTGTGCAAATCAAACTGTTTTTTATCAAAATAGAAGGTAAATTGAAGATTCTTTAGTGCAAGAAAGGTAAGTACAGACATTTCTTTATCTACATAGAGCACTTTGTATCGTTTTCAAGCAAAACGGGCTGAGATTTTGATGTGATTAAAATTTTTTTCAATTTCTATTTTCACTTTGGGAAATTTTCCTGTCAAAGTCTAATGCGTGGCGCAGTTAATAAATGTGTGGCGCGCAATAAATCAGCGTGGGGCAGCCACAATGTGTGTGGCGCGAGCGCCACGCATTTTCCAGTCAGGGAGAACTTAGCTTTCATGAAAAATAAATCAATAAAGTACAAAATACAGAAGATAATCTCTCAAAATCAAACAGCTGCAGCAGTGTGGCCTAATTGTGATGTCACTACATGATAGAATCCATTCAGTGATCGCAAATCATCAATGACTCAGATGCGAGTAAGAAGTTCCCAGTTTCACTACCAGGTGGCTCGTTCGGCTCAGATAGCATGGCGGGTATAGTACATGGTTCCTTTTAACTTAATATTCATCTGTTTTAGTGGTTCAATTTTCATATCAGCTTTATTTAATGACGTAAATCAAGAACTTATCTTCTCGCATGTAGTCTATTACATAGAGGAGCATTTTGTCTATAAAATACATGGAGGTGCTGCGTCTCGATGATTTCAATGTGGGGAGGGCACTGCCTTGGTTATTCATGGATGGCTATTTGTATTCCAGCTACTACATGTGCAGTATAACTTTATATAGCATCGGGTGTCTCATGCAGGGTTCGTACACCTTTTTCAAAATGAATTTCCCTGACATTTCCCTGACATTTCCAGGCAAAAAAGGAAATTTCCAGATCTAGTTTTCCTTGCACGGCCTCTAAAAAGTCTCTAACTGTTATGCGGAAAACATGATACAAATATATGTCATATTCCGCAACGAATATGGCATATTCACTTGCGGTATATGCCAGATTCACCTGCGGAATATGGCATACACACTAACCAGTGAGAACGCGATACGGAAACACGCAATTGTCAATTACATCGATTCAATGAATGTCTATAAATTATTCTTATGATAACTGAATCAACATCTTAGTGCACTGAATATATCAGCTTATACAATTGAATAACATACACCAGTATGGTACCTGTATTGTCTGATGTTTTTTGTGTATGTGTTACACGCAAAAACACACTTCAAGGGAAACATTATGACGCATAAATAAACGAGCCTACGTTCGTAAAGCTTATGAGTGACTTTTATAACCAAATCAACAGTTAACAAAAGCCAGATAAAAACTTTAAAAAATCACGAGTATTTATATATTGTTATATTGGCAATCATGATTTACACATTTCTGATACTTTTATCACGAGGGGATTTTATTGTTTATTTGATGTTTACTTTTTGTTTCACTTTTGCTAAAATAATGTCAACTTAAGTTTTATAATTAGAGATGTACTCATTAACTCAGCAATTAGATTTAGGTCATTAAAATATTCTCAGACTTCTTCCTAAATATCTGTTGAAATTCAAGTGGTCATTTGTATTGTTGTATGTTTTATGTAACCAGAAATATGAATTTATTGTCACATGGTGTCTGGGAAACCAGCTGATTTATGTATTGTTGGGCAGTTTTCGGCCTAACCTTCAAAATTATAACATGGAAAATAAAGACCTCTCACCAAATTCTAAATTAAGAGCTAGTAACTAATTAACAAGAGAAAACAATGAATAAAAAAATATATACACAGAAATTATATAAAAACACCCCGTCATACTTTCAGGAGTATCATTCAGCAATTACACGTAATAAACGTACTTAATCAATCCAGGATTCATTCATATTAGTGCTCGAAGCGCTAACTATGTTGGTAGTCTAGCGTAGTTTTACATTTAGAATCGATTCTTTTGACCAATCAAATCGAGGCTTTCTGTATTGCGTTTTCATCTGCGGTATATGGCATATTCCACAGTTGAGTATGCCATATTCCGCAGGAGAGTATGACATATTCCGCAGTGAGTATGTGGTATTCACTGAAATCAATGTATCGCATATTCACTGCGAAATATGCCGTACTCACCTGCGGAATATGCCATATACCGCAGGTGAGTATGGCATATTCACCAGTATCACAAATACCGCACAACCATGAATATATGCCATATTCCGCGTAACACTAACAACTGTATTATTTAAAAGACAAGACTTATTATGAAACATTTTGGGTTTGTCCTTTAGTACCATTTCTCATGACTTAACTTTACTTCTACAGGCCGTCTTATTCACCAATTTATTCCTGATACATTATATTCTCAATTTTAAATATTTACATTGCATAAGGCCAAAGGCAACATACATGTACAGAGGCATCCAACAAGTGTCAAGGGGGTGCATCTTTTGGAGTTTGCATCACTGCGAGCGAAGGAAAACCAAAAGGGGGGGGGTTTGGGGGTTCAACCCCGGAAATTTTTCAAAATTGACAATTGTATATGGTGCATTCTAAGCATTTCAAACTATAATTTGTTAATGTTTTGTAATGAATCCAAATAAAAACTGAAACTTCAAAATGTTGATCTAAAGAAAAATAGCAACTCCCTTGAGGGGCAATTCCCAACTAATGAAACATTTTATCGAATACTATCATTGTGAACATTATATGAAAAATGGCAAGTGGCTTCTTGGGCAGAGGCTCTATATACAGTAACAAAAGCATTGGTATATAAAATTTTAACAAAATCTGTCAACTGATATTTGAGTTATCATGTGCACCCTGATAGATAAATAGACTGAATACGACCGGACTGTTGAACAGACAGCTCCTTGATATAAATACAATTTTAAACTGTTAAGAGTTCCCGGATTTGTTTTTGTTTTTCACCTCCCGCCCTCCTCAGATTAACCCCTCAACAAACCATGAAACATATACCAGCAATTACATTTGAATGGCCTAAGACTAACTTACTACATGGGAAGCATAATTATATTGAACCATCTATTCTATACATATTCTTTACTCGGTTTCAGTATGATGTTCACACTGTTCTTACAAATAGACAAAACCAGATTCAAAGTCATTCAATCAACCCTAATGAAAAGATTTACAATTAGTGGAAACAACTTAACATTTGATTTTGGATTTCATTGATATCCTGTCATAGCCCTAAAATGTATTTTGCTGGAACATTATTTTTTCAACAATCATACAAAATTCCCTGACATTTCCCTGACACATCTACTGTTTCAAAATTCCCTGACATTTTTGGCCCTTTTTGACCCAATTTTAAAATTCCCTGACATTTCCAGCACCTGGAAAAATAAATCAATTTCCCTGACATTTCCAGGTATGTACGAACCCTGTCATGGCCCTATTAAGAGAAAAGCCTCAGGCTTCTGTTTTTACAAAGTTGCCTGATGTTTGCTGGATTTTTTCATTTAAAATTATAATTTCCAATGATTCTGCCTTTCAGAAATTCTATTGAATCCCCTAACCCCTGCTACATGTCTAGCTACATACCTATGGGCAAGACCAAGGGCCATGGCTGCCATTTCTTTTTGCGGAAGACCAGTAATTAAACTGTCCATCTGGGAGCGAATACCTCTGATCAATTCATTGATAGCAGAGTTAGCAACGCAGGGAATGGACAACTTGTCCTGGAATTCAAAATATAATAACATGTAAAATACATTAGATCATGGTTTGAAACTCACAGCTGCCCGACTGCCAATTGGGCATTTCATAGAATGCATGCCAATATGATGTGACAATCATATGTTCAACCTTAGTCGTGAACCTTGTACTTGATTTTGTTGAAGGGGGGGGGGGGGTAACTGAGGATTTTTTTGTAAAAAATGTAGATTTAAGTGAAATATAAGTGGACAGCATGCAAATCATCATTTTTTGTTTTATTACAGGAGATGGTTGTCAGTAAAACTGTAAAAAACTTTTTTTTCCACATCTGTCAACATTCCTTAAGCCCCTCATTGTCCGCCTTATTCTGTCTTCACATATGTCAGGTGTATCAACAGGTATTAATCATCGAGGCTTTCTTCACCCAAGTATATTTATGCAAAGTCATCTCATCAAAAATGGAGAAATTACAGCGTTTTATGAGAATTAAAAGAATTATGAATCTGGACGGTGTATGTTTTATCTTCGAAACTTGGATTAAAAAGTCAGAGAGACTACAAAAATTCCCAGAAAACTAACCTTAATACTATTTCCTAGTTTAGCATCAGCAACTGCCAATTGTTCATGTAGGTCTTCTGAATATAATTTCTTCAAGACCTTTTTCAGAGTCTTGCTCATTTTCCCCTCCACTGCTGCACATGTTGCTACAAGATAAATATTTTAATGAAGTAAATCATGAGATATGAGTCTCCACTGTTTGGGGAATCACATAATCAACAGGTAAGATTTTGATCAAAATTAATCATGATAAAACTTTATATCTTACAAATTGAATGACTAAGCTCTAATGTAGAGTTTATAACAATTTTTCACTATTGGTACTTCACATCATCTCATACATATCTGTGTTTGAAATGGCACAGCTATAGCCTTTATTTAACTAAGGTTTTCGTTAATGCAGTACACCAGAGTGTGTACATTTTTGGATTTCATTCAACTTTAATTTTAATTAAGCGAAGCCCCTCATTGTCCGCCTTATTCTGTCCTCACATATGTCAGGTGTATCAACAGGTATTAATCATCAGGACTTCCTTTTTATACAACAAAATTATCAGAAAACACCTCTCTGAACTTGTTCAGGTAGTTTTCACCAGTGTGATATAAAAGGAGACACTAACTCAAGAGGAAAAAAAAGTATTGTCGATATTCAAGGAGTATATTCTGTCACGATGATGTAGTCAGAACCTAGAAAACCGATGAATGTTTTAGGAGATTTTATAGTCGTAGGACAGTAGACTTACCAGCTAAGGCTTCTGTTGTGTCTTTGAATTTCTTGAATTCTTTCAGCTTAACTCTGAAACACAAATGGCATTCATTTATAAACAGTTTTCAAGGGAATTGAAAGTGAAGATTAAATTATTATGCAACGTTTAAAATAAAGGAACAAATACATGAAAGGAGAATTACATTATAATCCCAACTGCTTTGAATCAAATTGACGTTCTAAGTTCTTTAAAATCATTTTTGAAATTACAATACATTATTACAATAAATTAGATAACAATGGTACTTACACTTTGCTAGCAGACTCTGCTGTTTGGAAGTCTTTGAAGAGGTCATCAGTTGATTTAAGTTTCTTTTCATCCAGTAACTACAACATATTAATAAAAAAAAAATATTAATCATTACTCAAGTTACAAGAGGTGTCTTACTATGAGCTAGTCTTGATAACCGACATCAAATGGCCCTTGGAAGAATAACTTAAACAATTTAAGATAAACTGAACCCAGGAACAGCAAAATAAAGACTACATGTATTTATTTGATTTATGTAAAATAGCTGACGAGAAGATAAAGGACCCACGGTCCTGTGCTTACACAGTGTTTTATGCAGCCAATGATGATTGACTTTATACATGAGAAAGTTCCCTGAAAATGACGAAGTCCTACTTTTTGTCAAATTTTATAGATTAAACACCAAAAACTGTAATTTCATGAGCTTTGAAATCTTCAGGGAACATAAGTTGCATATGCAGCAACTACTACAAATTATTTGACAGTTCTACTTCAACAAATTGTCTAGTATTAACAGAAAATTTGACGTCAAAATCAGCAATTTCTCGGACACAAGGCGAACTTGGGAAATGGCTATGTATTTATTTGATTTATGATAGGTCAAATAGGCATTATGGATATGCATAAAATGAATGTGGATAGGACTCAATCCGAATAGCAGTTTTAATTTGTGCGGCCATATGTTGACGGATGGACCAACAGACGACGGATGCCTGGTCGATCCCATAGGCTCACTGTGTGAGCCAATAATCTAAAAGTGTAGCAAATACATTTTCAGAGGTCAGAAAAAGCTATTTCATCATGTTTATGGTCATTCTGACCATGCCCATTGTGATCCTGGTCATGTACATGATATGTGGAACTAGTAAAACTGACTGAAGGTCAAAATAAAACTCTGTTATCTAAGTGCTGAGCTTAATAAATAAGTGTTATTTTTTCAAAATAAATAGCGGTCCTTCCAAAAATGTATTTGCCAAAATACACCTTAGACTCAACCAGAGTTATGTTGTCAAAAGCAGATGACTTTATAAACATGGTCATTTCCTCTGACGTCATTGCATAGTTAATGAGCACACACAGTTCCTGTTCCTTCCAGCTCGCTAATTAGTTGAGAAAAGGTCAGTGCAGATTACCTATATTTCAAAAGCTGCCTAACTAGAACAGCGACTGAAACTGAAATCAGCTGCTTACTTTATATTTGATATATCTCCAAATGTTCCCCACATCTCCATTCTGCATTTACGAAAGTGTGTTAGTTATCAGCTGCTTCTGTGTCAATCAGGAATTTTTCTTGTGAGAATTCAAAATGGCCATTTCGAGAGAAATTTACAAAGAGTATCGTTCAAATCTTTGTAGATTTCCAAATGAATTTAAAAACTGCTAAATTTCTGGCACGGAAAACACTGGGAATTTCAAATGTCCATCAAAACCGCCATTTTGATTTCTCGCTAGAGTCTGTTTCATTGCGTCAGTAGAATGGCAAAAATAAGAAATTGGGAGACCATTGTGCAATAATATATGGAAAAGTATATTCATAATATACATGAATGAAAGTATATTTCCGATTTTTTAGTTTTTTGTGCAATAAGCCTGTGTCGTCTTGTAATTTGAAGAATTTCAGCCATGTTAATCTTATTGAAAATAACATGGCAGAGAAGCATCCAAATATAAGAGGCCACACACTTTATAAGCCAAACTAGAAGCAATCCAAGATATACAAATGTCATTCATGTACAATAGGAATATATTTTTCCATATATTATTGCAAAATGATATTTTGATTTCCTATTTTTTAGCTTTAACTGACGCAATTAAACAGTGAAATGGACTCTAGAATCTGAACACAAATTCTCGGTAGAAGTTCATATGGTGAAAATAGCGAAATAATGAAATGTTACAGTGTGTCTACTTAGCAGTTTGTTCTATGTCATCCATCCTACTAGGTTACATTGTGGAACGCAGCCAAACACGACACTGAAGGCAACAACATGTCGATGTTGATAAGCAGAATTTTTGGAAATTTAGATCGTCCATTTTGCAAGTTCACGTGACTCACACGTGACACGTGTCTGATCACGTGACTAGTTACTGTACTGATCATGTGACTTAATGACGTGTCATCCAACCATGTCTTCAAGGAAAACAGAAGTAAATATTTTGGAAAATGTTTTCCGAGCATTTGCTACTGATTATAGAAGGCCCAATTACGCAACGAACGAAACTGCTAAATTGTATTTCGTGCCTAACAGGCCCAGTACGCAATGAAAGAAACTGCTAAAAATTGTATTTTTAGTCTGCTTATTGATCTATTGATTCATAAAGACCTGAAATGATGCATTCAAATAAGACCGCCTCCTAAATGAAAACACTACACATAAAGTGGTGAAAAACAACGAACTAAAGTTGAAAGATCGCAACGTTCACTACTTTGTTCAATTCCGGAAGTCTCCAAGGGGCTGCAGAAGAAGAAATGGGAAATTTTTACAATTTAGATTTTATAACCTCAGAATACTGCCTTCATTGTCGTGTTTGGCTGAGTTCAACAATGTAACCTTGCAGGATAGATGACATAGAACAAACTGCTAAGTAGACACACGGTAACATTTCATTATTTCGTTATTTTCACCATGTGAACTTCTACCGAGAATTTCTGTTCAGATTCTACAGTGCTGATATATAATAATTAAGGGTGCGTTTTCAAACTAAACAGAGTGCTCCTATCAAAATGAATTTGCCTACATACCCCTGAGACTCTTATCTGATAGATAGAATGCACAAATAAAACAAAAGTTTTGCTATTATAGGTAAAAAGTTCTCTTGAAATTTCGAAGTGATTTTACCTGTTAATTTTGTCCATGTCACGCCATTTTTGCGGAAGTTACACTGAAACGCAAACTCCATGAAACGAAACGAAATCACTAGAAAAAAAACATGGCACACATTGTGCGCATGTGCAGCAAAGTTTAGACCAATCAGATTATTTGATTATTTTGCGCATATGAATTAGTTGCTTCTGAGCACTTACAAGCTTACCACAATAAACAAACCTGGCAGAGACTACCCTTAGCCCACTTCATTTTGGCGAAATTTCAGCTCAAACTCGTGACAAATGCATTATGCATACGCTGGTGTGAAGCCTTGGAGACACTCATTTTGGTAAATATGATTTATGGGGTATACTTTTCTGCAGTTTGTGTGAGTTTGGGACATTAAATGTTAAAATTCAAGAAAATATGCCAATTAAACGACTTATCAATTAATATATACCAGCACTGTACAGTTGGGGACATAAATAAATGACAGGTGGATTTGCTGAAGTGAGGATTTCCCATGTTAAAAATAAGAGAATTTACAAGAGGCCATACATCAGTGGATGAGATTATACAAAATATAAATATACAAATTTTAAGGGATATATATCTAGACAATATTGGAAATTATGGGCTTTCAGACCACCATAATTAGGAAATGGTGATCGAAAATCGACCTGTCATTTATTTTTGTCCCCAACTGTAAGAGAGTTTTGACTCGGGAATAAAGGCAAGTACTGACCAACCCAAAAGCAGCTGATTACTTACAGACTTTCGCCAGTTTCAGTTCTGTATGAAAAGATCTCTTAATTCTCAGGCAACTCGAATCGACTTTTTTATTCATGTTCCCATGGTTGAAATGGATTGTAGGCCAAGTGCAGAAAATAATCAGCTTTGAAATATAGAATATGGAAGGTTCAATTAGACTACTGCTCTTCAAGACCAGGACAAGGAACGAGATGGTCTTGGAAAAAGATAAATGATGTATTACAGATCTTCCAGGTTTTCAAAAAAAAAAAGATCAAAAACCAGATATACACGTGTTCTTATTTCCAGCTGTCCAGGGCTTTCTGCGAAGAGAACAAATGATAAATTGGTTAACGATGTGTGCCCTACATTATCCCCCACAAATATAAAATATATATTACCTTAAATACTGCATATCCAGCCGGTGTTTCAAATAAAACCAACATTTTTCGATTTTCTTTTGGAAACACGAGGGTCGACGAACAGACTTATCTAATCTCGAGGAATTTCCCGAGATCTCATCTTGCAACGAGAACAGAATGCGGAAGTTAAGAAGTGAAAAATAATTGTCTACTAAAATAAAGCTTTTAGTGCGACTCTGGCGTCTCCGGGAACTCTGGTTGACGCCCAAAGGTAAATTATTTATTCATGCAAATGTGATGCTTTTTATATGAATAAAGATTGAAACAATATATTAATTTAGAGATTTCAGAGTCAAGATCTAAAAAGATCAGTGAAAAAATTTCTTCAAAAATCATCAAAATGAAAAACTGGAAAATATCAATCCAAAGTCTGAACTGAAAAGCCTAGTCTCACTGGCGGATCTGGGGTGGGCCTGGCGGCCTGGGCACCCCCCACCCCCCCCCCCCCCCCCCTGGGTGGGCCAAGAAAAAAAGGAGACCCTATATCTGTTGCAAGACTTATGCCTGGCACAACCGTCACCATGTTATTAAGTGTTTTTAAGTTTCGCAAGGATCCTGCCATGACCGTGGTAGTGTTATCCTGATAGTCTTATATAACTGTGACAATGTTACATTATATATTGTCAGTCCGATAAATGTGCAAAATTGTCACTTGCAAGCATTGATTTGTCACATTTGTTCGTTTTTAAGTACCCCAATGTCCCATTTAGTCACATTTTTAGAGGCCAGGTCGCCTTATCAGACACATACCCCTTGGGAAGCCCCCTGAGGCTTTGCAACCATTGTCACGGTCATATCATGCCTTACAATATAATATAGCTATTATAGCATTGTCACGGTTATACCAGGCTTTCATGATAACAATACCACGGCCATGGCAGGATCCTTGCGAAACTTAAAAACACTTCATAACATGGTGACGATTGTGCCAGGCATAAGTCTTGCAATATAGCATGTGCAAAAAAGGCCTTATAACGTACAGCTGGAAAATAACATTTTGGTAAAAAAATTGCTAGATCTATTTTTTCAGGAAAGTATCATTACATTGTCTTCTTTTAGAATATCTGGTAGGAGTGTAATGGGAACTCCAGGAAATTCTGATATTTCACACTTTCTATTTTTCCAAATTTTCTTTTAAAGTTTCCAGACAACACATGAGCTACCATTGACCTGTTTCCAGGTTTACTAAAAGTAGACAGTGTAATGATACTTTCCTGAAAAAAGTAAGCAAATACACACATGCCTTCATACTTAATTTTGTACCAGAAAATAACATGTGCAGGTATAGCAATTTTTTACCAAAATGTTACTTTCCAGCTGAACCTTAAGGCCCCAAAAAGTGGGCCTTTTTTATCATAACTGGGCCTTGTAAGGCCTTATTTTTTAATTTCAGGCCAAATTTGATAGGAAATGGGCCTCAAAATTTCAAATTTGGGCCCACTCTTAGGTTTTAGGGGCCCAAAACTTTTTTTCTGTGCAAGCGCAGACGTTTTTTCTCTGATCTGAAATTTGGGCCCCACCCCCTTGTTGGTTCCCAGATCCGCCCCTGATTCTAGAGTCAAGAGCTCACAGTCAGCACCGTCTAATATCTAATATAATAGAATATAATAGTCTAATAACTGAATAATGAAGATTGATACAATGTAACGCTCACTGTGGGTGAGCTCTTGTTCTAGACCTGTGATACTGATTTATCGAAGACCTGGCATTGTTTGAAGCACAGATGCTCCCTGGGTAATAAGAGTACAAGGCCTGTATTTTTGCTGTATTTTTCATTAGAACTCAGTTTTAAAGGCCTTTGTTAAAAGGGAAAGCTTATTATCAAAGTTAGATCTTACTTTCTCCAGTGTGCTCATATGAGAAAATTCAGTTCATGAGCAAGAAAACCTGCTCTTAGTTTTCTTCAGCCATTGTATTGTCTCATAGTGAACAGTTTTCCATACACTACAGTCTGATTTAAGATAGCATGTGCAACTTTACTTCAATGACATCTAACAAATGAGGTTGACGTGACATTCAAGCATTACTGTAAACTTTTGACTGTGACTTTGAAAACAATTTAGATTAAATAGAGAATTACATATAAAGCACGTCGAATATATAAGATTTGACAACCCAATGGTAAAGGGTTATATCGTACATTATAGTGTGCCCTGAGCCACACATTATTGTACTGTACATATTTTGACAGATAAGTTTTACATAAACCTATAATCTTAGAAGATATTTTGCTAAAAAATTGTTTTGGCATAATATGATGAGTAAATGTTACAGATGTAATACTATTTACTAGATGGACTATTAAAAATAATATTTACTGGATTATTTGTTTATATTTGATATAACAAAATTCCTTTCAGGTTATTGCAAAGTATTCCTTGAATTTGCGGCTTAATTTGCTCTTAAAATTAAAGACAAATGGAACCGGGATTGACTCTGAAAATTCTTTTAAATGTAATAAAATAAGATTCCAAACTTCTTAAAAATCATGACATTTTCTAGATTTACTGTACAGCAGTTTTACTTTGCTCTGATGAAAAAGCAGCTGGTATAAGCAGCATTCTCTAAATTGAAAACATATCCTCCTTTCTTGAGTCATCTTTGTTAACAGTGTTTGTTGTATGTTGTAGATTGACTGTTATTTAACTCTTTTTCAGTTTTCAATTGGAGAAGAGTATCAAAAGAATGACAGAAATATCACATGTTTAACACTAACAGTACAGGCACATTTGATGCAAAACATTTTCTGGATAAACTAAACAGAGGTTACAAATTAGACACACTGACATTCTGTTGCATTATCCTGATCTATTATAAATAAACAGTCATCACTCTAATTGATGTTAATTGTATCAGGTATATGTCAGCTATCTTGGATTTAATGGCCTCATAAAGGAAATATTAAACTCATTGATCAACTCTCTAAATCTTGTTTATATTACACAAACATTCAAATACAGCCTGAAAGAATAACTAAATCGGGAAGTGAATATTTGAACAAGGAAGTTCCAACAATTAATATTTTTAAGAATACAGGTGCTATACTTCACCATGATGCTCTTAAGCAAGGAGTGATTAAACGTCGCTCATTGAAGTGTATGTACACAGTTATATTAAAGGATATTCTATATTACGATGTTTAAAAAAGTAAAGGCATTCAAAATCAAAGGCAACAGTAGTGCTGCTGACATTGGTGATGACACAGTTGGAGGTGTCTTTCTTAAAACCTACCAACCTATAGACATAAATAACATTGGTAGCGCTGGTAGCAGTACGACTTCTGATAGCGACACACAGGAGCAGCCTGAGGAAAAACCAAGGAAGAACTCAAAAGGCTCTTCCATATTTAATACATTGAAAAAACTAGGACGGAAAAAGAAGCATAAAGATATTCCATTTGAGGATGCATCTAACGCTAAAAACAAAAAGGAGATTGAAAATAATAACGCAAAATTGAAAGAGCAAAGCTCAGTTTTAAAGGAGGCACTAGATAAAGAAACTAAAACTTCAAATGAAAATATTAATAACAAAGATAAAGTAAATGGCGTTGAGCAGATCACTTCAGATAAAGATAGGCCCACAGATAATGTAAATATTGAAAATGCCAAGGTCAATAATAAGGAAAATGACAACAAAGGTGAAGTGGTTCTAACAGACAATGGAGATGATCAAAGTAAACACGCTTTGACTGTTAATACAGATCAGAAAAGTGAAATTATAATTGATGATGATGACGACCCTGATTATGCTACAGTTGGGAGTCCAAATGGAGGTGGATTGACATTTAAGCCTCATTTGCCAAAATCGCAGGAGTCCACATCAAAATCTACCAACTCTGGATACGCTTCAGTAGGTGCTCCAAGTGCAAATATAGATGTAGGCAATAATGTTTTTGAAGATGATGAAGATGACACTTACGCCACTGTTGGTAGTCCAACAATGGCTAATGTTATACAGAAACAACAGATAGTACCTGAAAGTCCAGATGATCCTGACTATGATTCCATCAGGAAGTCTTACATGATTGAGGCTACCCAACCTCTTAGTGCTATTAACAAATCAAATGATGATGATTCAGTAACTGAGAACGCCAGATATCTGGCCCAAGGTGCTAGGCCAAAGGTGTTTCCAACTGGCCAAAATGACAATTTCAAAAATCCAGATGTTGAAGTTATCAACACTAATAAACCACAAGATGAGATTAACAGAAACGAGGATATTAAAGATACTCCTGCAACGAAAGAAAACCTAGATGATATGTACATTACGAAAGAGCAAGTGAAAGAAATGAAACAAAAAAATCAACAAAATAAAAAAGACCCAAAGTTAGATATCCAATTAGACATTCCTTCTTACCAACCTGGCAAGTCTGTAGAGTATGAAATGACAAAGACAGAGCAAGATGACAAAGAGATTCCTAAAAACGATATTCCATCTCCCGACCCGGCTGTCAAGACATCCAATCTTATGTTACGGAACATAGATGTACCATTTGAGTTAGAAGGCATTTATGAGTCAATTAAACCAGCATTACCAAATAAAGGTTTCAAGACTGAACATAACATCAAGGTAATAACAACAAATACAAATGATCCACCAAAACCTGATCAAATTGATGGTGCCCAACAACAATCCACTCAAGAAGTGAATATTGATTCAGAGGAAAACTCTGATCCAAAATCAGCCCAGGACAAACAACTTGAACCAACAACAGAAACAACCAGCTTGTTGTGTGTTTCTGAAGATCAGCATAAACCGCACCCAACACCACTTACAGTTGAGATTCCGAGCAATGATGAGATTGATGAGGAACCTATCCATATGTCCTTAGAGGAAGTGCGGGGTGAAAGTTTACCTGGTGCTGATACCACTGAACTCATTCATGTCACCATTGAGGAACTTAGGTGAGTAAAGAGTAAAACGTTTAACATGTGTAGCCTAGTAATTAAAATAATTGTATATTCTCGTTATCATTTATTTCAATTCAATATTTTGGTCTGTATTTTTAATATTGATACTTAAATTTGCTGCAAATTAGGACAATATTTTAACTATATCCAGTGATTAATGAAGTTTGACCCCCATACATTTAGTTATTTGATTACAGGAAGAGTAAAGAGTATAAGAAACTGCAAGATAGCTTAAGGCCCAATGATGGGAGAGGTGAACCAGATGGCGTCTCCACAACAACCAGTGTCCCTATCAATCAACGGAGATTGCCTCCTACTCCCACTGTATCTCCAAAGACATCAACTTCAGAAGGTGAGCCCCGTTGTGATCAAAAAATGGCATTGGGCTATAAATGAACTACATGTACATATTATGTAAAGTATCCTTTCTAGAATGCCCATTGCTATGTAGGTATTGTATTAATATGTACAACCTTACATTGTATTGTACATTTGTGAAAATACACATCAGTAATGAACAATTTCAAAACTGGAACTTCACCATCTGTCTGAAAAACATCTTGTAAATGGAAGATGAACTTCAGCGCCAGCATGTTCAAACTAGGCGAGTAGGTGCCGTAAGAGTTCGAGACGCGTGTGTTCCTTGTGTTTATTCATTCAAGGGATGTCAGGCCTTTTATTTACTCTTAAATGAGAACTCAGTGTCCAGTTCTAGCAACAACCTATTGATATGAGTGTAACTTTGCCATAATCTAAACTTGCCTAAATGCTCAATTATATGATTTAAAGGAATGAAAATAGATAGAAGGGTTGATCACAAAGTTCTCACAATATCTCTCTAAGTTGTTTGTTTTTCATTCAATGTGGCATTTTGAAATTTCACAGCAGAATGTGTAACATACAAGGACCTATAACAATTATTTTTAGTGTAACAGAAATATTCTCTGAAAATTCCAATATATATATATATTGAAAAGTAAAATTATAGAATGATAATGAGATAAGCCCTTGGTGTTTACATAAAAAAAGTTTAACATCTAGCATCCAGATTAATATTATACAAAAATATTTGAAGTTATGGACTCTGAACTCTGGACCTCTAACTACCTGTAATTGACAACATGTGTGAACAGGTATTAACGAGACAGGTGCCAATAATTAGAACATTTTTAATATTAATATGTCAAGTGTGGCCAATGATCCACATGAACTTTATGATCATATCACATTTGATTTTTTAATTTGCATTTTTAAGTATCAGTGATTTTGTTTGTTTATTATTCATTTAGAATTTGACAATCTCAGGCAATCTTATCTTTAGAAGATATTGGAAACTTCCAAGTATTATTTTTACATGATTTATTTGTATTACATACACCTGTTAGTGATCTAAATTCAGTTACTATATCTAGTACCTGTAAGATATGGTTTGAAACAACTGAACATGAATTTAAAAAAAATACTTTTGAAAATTTGAAAGGTCATAAAAGTTTTATTTATGCTGTCATTTTACTTGTTAAATCAATATGCTCAGTGTCAACATAGTGAAGTGTGTACTGTTTAAATCTCATCATGTATATGTGTTGCTATGGTGAAATACAGTACATACTTTAGATACATGTGACAGGGCAGAGATAATAAGGCCAGAGATAACTGGATTGTAGCATTACCAGATATGTTGCATTTCTGAAATGACATTAATTTTTTCACAGCTTCCTTATTATCGCTAAATTGCTGAATGTACTATTCTACCTGGTATATTAACCACTGCACTAATTATGACACAGATCACCTCAGGCCATATTTGGACAAAACTTGAATTCAATATTTTTTTTAATACTTTCTCTTATTTCTCCCTCAGTGTGCATACTGCATACTAAGCCATTGCACCATCAAGAAATGTTTCCCAATTTTTCAATGAACAGTCTTATCAGAGATATACATGTACAGCAATTTTGACTACCAACGTTCTTATAATGCTGAAAAGACAGAGACCCAATTCAAATTCACGCCACTAAACAAAATGGTGCATCAGTTTAACAAGTAATAAAGTTTATTTTAAAAAAAATACACCTCCTGGCTCCTGCACTTTTTAATGCCATCTTAAAAATATAGACCAGCAAGGAAATGTAAATCCCCATATTCTTTACCAATCCATAACATAGTTACAATTTACTATCTAGTTACAATTTTCAATGAAGTACATGTACGTATATGCATAAACCTTTCTGGTTTAATATAAGGAAAGTCACATATATTTTTTTGTTCCAGGTTTGAACCGTGTATCAAAGGAGAATGTTATAGAAGACTTGCGCAAATTGAAGGATGTAAGTATTTGATGCTGTTTTGGTTTTCTCAACCCTTTAGATTGCTAAATATCTGAATATGTATGGAGTCAACATAATGAATGGAGTCAACATAATGTTCATAGGAATGGTAACCAGTTGTCAACAATTTTATATTAATTTGATTTCAGCTCTTTAAAACTTGAATACTATTTAAGGTACTAGTATAGTATTTACTACTTATTGTAGGACGCATGATGTTTTAAACTACTCAATATACTTTCAAATGAAATATATGATTTTAGAAGTGTGATTTACACTGATCGAGGGTAGTAAACAAAATGGTTTTAAAAGAAAATGCCGCATTTTGACACTTTGTACCTCTACGGGATAGTGATTTTGCTTACAGTTTAATCTCTTATCGTCTTTATGACTAGATATATGACCCACCCTCAACAAGCTTTTAAGCTTTTTAGAAAATTTGTAATTTCTACAATAATATAATATATCTTTTGATTTATTATTTTTAAGAATTTTTAAGTTAACTGAACAATTGCTTTTTTGAGATCGCTTTCTTAAATGGGGTGTACTGTGTACTCTAGGAATAAAATATAAAAATCAAACAACCTCCAGTAGGCGCTCTGCCCTTGGAAGTAATATTTCATTGGTTACAGATTAAAGTAATGTTCAGTTACAAGATATATAATGTCATGTCAACATCCCAAGGTATTTCAAGAGGCCCAACATCAGGCCCGTAGCCAGTTTTTACCAAGGGGGAGCTTTTGTTAAAGTGAGGAGTTTTTTTGACAGTCTTTGCTAAAGAATCATGCCAAAAAGTGCTCAGAATGGTGAAAAACTGCATGATTTTTAGACTCTCGCCAGGAAACTCCCCTCTGCCCCCTGGTTACGGGCCTATACATGTATCGTATAGGGTGAAAGTCAGTCCATTCCTAATTATATCATCATTACCAGTGAGTGTAATTTGCAAAAGGCTTATAAGCCTGCTTAAAGCACATATATAATTCAACAATAATTGTCTGAGATATACGTATATTAGGGGTTTCATTAGCAACAGACGAATTTCACCGGTTGTTTTCCCAAAATCGCCTGTTGTTTTTAGGGACTTTTCAAATTTTCCATGTTAAATTCATGATTTCCATTAATTTTGCCTGTTGCTTTTCATTTATTAAACCTGTCGTGAAAAATTCTAGTGAAACCCCTATATAGACAGGTTCCAATTTCAGAATATCTCAAGGGAAAGAGTTTTTGAGGCATTTTTTAGAAAAAGCAACAGACCTATTTTTTCTGGATCAGTTTTTCATGCTAATAAAGATATTAAAAGATGACAGCTCAACGGGGTGGTCACGACACTGAATTTTAGCGTTTTTACCCCCCTAGGAAATTATCTTAGGGGGTACTATAATATTAGTTCATAACTCAGAGGATATATAAACTATTGTCCTGAGTTCTACAGCATACATTGTTAGTACAGAGATAAATACTATCCTAAAGTTATTGGTTGATATCTTTGTTGGTTTCGGAAAAATACTATTAATAAGAAAAAAATATGCAATTTTTGTCATTTTTTTCTTGCTTATTTTATATTTGTAGCTTCAAGCAAAATATGATAACTTGAACAGCTCAAAGTAGTATTCTAACAACATTCCCAAGCTATGTGTGATATTGTAATACATGTATTATAGTGATGAAGTACTATTTTGTAATTTAAATATGACTTTATAGTGCCCTACCCCTGGTAAATAGAAGAAAGTTGGTGTGGTTTTCTTCTGGTTTTAACAATTTATTGACTTCTTAGTTGAAGATACAATCAATTTTGTCACTTTACCATGAGTAGCTTTACAATGGTTAACTATTCCCATGAATAGAGGGTTGGGACCTCAAAAATACCAGAACTGTTAAGTGGCATCCTTGGGCATCCCTCTTCAGAGCATTTTCCTTATACTCCGATGAAATCTGCAGGGGATACTATAAGAAACCTATATATTATAAGATACTAATGAAGATACTGAATTCAAATTTTCAATTTTCAGGATTTGGTCCTGGTATGATAGGTAATCTGTATGACAAAAAAGACAAAAAGAAAAAACTCTGTTGCCATAGTAACAAGAATACCACACTATTTGTTTCCTAAGAAATGTGTTTTAAGAGGTTTTGTCATTCTCTTCATATTTCTAATTCTAAATATATCTACAATGTGTTGCTATGGCGACACATAGATCATAGAAAAAATGCTGGGATGATCGCTCTATTTGTCAGGAAATTAAAATGGAAACTGAAAAATGAGTTTCTTCCCACTGAATAGCAATTAATTTGGTAGACCATGGCTGACACGCACAAGAGAAAATGTTTATCAGTTCTATGTCATTTTGTTATTTTTTTTTATTTATCGTGGTCTGGGACCTATAACACCTAATGCTGAATCTTCTCCAACTGCAAAGGAAGGCAAGATTTTAATAATGAACATTCATATATCTCAACAAATATGGCCTAAGATTTGGACAATGATGAGGAAACTCTGAGGGAAAATTAGACGAAACATTAATGTGAGTGGTCCAAAAATAACACTAACTAACATATTTTGGAAAAGTTATGCTCTCGGGTGAATCAGTGCTCATTTAAGGATAGTCTGAATCAGGTGAATTTTTTAACCTAATTGTACCCCTTCCCCAAAACCCCCAGATTTTGACGAAATTGTCGAAAAGTGGCAAACAACATTCATTAAAGTTCAATATGGCTATTTCACTTCTATGTCATAAAGATATGATACGATCTCAGGTCAATCAATAAATTTCACAAGTGACACTCTATCTTATGAAGAAAATACTATCGTATTTGAAGACATGTCAAAAATTTGGTGGAAATAAATTGTGTCACTCCTGATTTGACCTGCAAAATTTCAGGTAAGTTATCACAAACAATTTCAGACAGTTATATCTTTGATTATGACTATTTCCTGACCATAAAGACAGGTATACAGGGATAATAAAGTCAATCGGACTTGGAGATATTTCACTAGCAATCAACCCATCAATATATTCTTTCAAAGTTGTTGACCTCATTTTCACCAAAAATGCAATCATTTTAACAATGTTTAATGCATTACTATTCTTTATTTTAATGTATCAAATAGCTCTTGAAAAGAAAACTTAAATCCCCTAAGATTAGTGTTCCCCATGTTATTTCCCATTTGAAAAAATTCATGCTATCCATTGGTTTCAGTTCATTTTGGTCATCTAAATTCAGTGTCTTTAAAGTCCCTGGAGCAATCCACTTTTCCTCTTATGAAATAGAACATGTCTCAAAGCATATTCTAATTATGCATTCAACAATATAATTAAAGGTTGCATCTTTGGTAAAAACTAGGTCATCATTTTTAGTAAAAAGTATGTTGATTGGGCCATTCCCTTTAATATCACTTAGGTCTGATTAATCATGATTATATTTACTTTTCTTGAAGATAATGAATAGATCTAAAAGATATATCCAAGTTCATGGTCAGAAATTATTCATAATTCAAGTTAGAATTGACCTTTTTCCATATAAATGAAAAATAGATGGCATCATGGGTATTGGTAGAGCTTGGGTAGGGCTAGAATACATGTAAATGTATTGCCAGAGTCACTTAATTTCTTGATTTAAGAAGTAATTCCATTTGGATCAACTTAAAACATCATTGGAATGTAACTATATGATCTTATTGACATGTGAATTGTGATTTCACATTAAAATTGTGATCCTCGTAAGAGTTAATGAACTTTTAAAGGTTTTTCAGCATTGTGTCAATGGGGATTTAGCCCGACCTTTTTTAGACAACCAGAAAATCATTAGAATTTGAATAATGGTAAATAACAGTGCAAATCAAATTGTTTTGAGAGAGAATTACTCACAGAATTTAAACATGCCATCAGATGGAAGAAAACGTTAGTTTTTAATGGTTAAAAATGCAGATCTCCTAAAATCTCATTAAAAACAAGTCCTTAACGAGATTTCAAAGCTATATGGAAAAGGACCATTGTCTGAAGTTGTTTGCGATAACCTACATGCTCCTTTATAACATTATTATGTAAATACTATCAAATGCTTTAGGATCATGACAGTTGAAGTAAACTGAAGTCTTGGTATTTAAATGCAGAATCAGATCTATGTAGAATAAACAAAATTGAAAACAACATGTACAGTTGACCTACCAATGTATTTCTTACAATCTCAAATATAATATCTCCCAAAAGATCCACAATATATTATTAATTGGTAATGTTGTTTAAAATTCAAAGTGTAAAAAGGGGGAAATGTTCAAATTCTCCCAAATAATAATAAATAAGTTACACTAAGTTATACAAGTGTGAGGCACCATCGCTGGGAAAGTCATCTTTGGTTAATAAAAAAGATTCTTAGCTACTTTTCTAACATCTGGCTGTGATGCATCGTGGCTTAATGAGGACTCTGCTATATGGTCAGATGATGAGAACTAACAGTTTTACGGAATTTTTGCCATGTTTTGCACATTGTTAATGACCCTTCTGAATGGGTTGTAAAGGTATATACCAGGAGGTATATATGGCTCAAATGACTCGTGCCCTAGTACATGGGGCACTGTAGTACATTACTTGTGCATGATGACCACCATAGTCTAGTTGCTCAAATGAGATCAATTGATGATTATAATGTTTAGACTTTATGTCAATGTCCTCTCTAGTATGTGATTATCCCATCGAACGAAGTTCGGAGGGATATAGGGAATGCCTCCGTTCGTCCGTCCGTCCGTACGTACGTCCGTACGTACATCCGTCCGTCTGTCCGTCCGTCCGTCCGGGCAATAACTCAAATACCGTTGGCCCGATTTTGTTCATATTTTGTACACATATACCCTATGGGAGTAGAAGTTCTGCTCGAAAGCCGATTTTCAAAATGGCCGCTCATTTCAAAATGGCGGCCATTTTAGTGGCGATTTTACAGTAATTTAGGTGCAATATGTAAAACTGTAATAGCAATATGTTTTAAATGTAAAAAAATTATGAAGGACATTAATAATGCTACAAATGTAGATATTAAAAAAGCACATGGCAGCCATCTTGAAAAAGGGCGGCCTTTACTCGTCATTTTACGATTTTTGCTGTAACTCAAAAAATAGTGGAGCGATTTTGTTCATATTTGGTGTGTGAATACTATAAGCATTGCACACTGTCTAAAGACACTTTTGGTAGAAGGCGGCCATTTTTCAAGATGGCCGCCATTTTAACGTATTTTACTATAACTCGAAAAGTAGTGGAGCGATTTTGTTCATATTTGGTATGTGAATACTATAAGCATGGCACACTGTCCTATGACACTTTTGGTAGAAGGTGGCCATTTTGAAAGCAATTTTGAAAAATGGCCGCCATTTTAACGTATTTTACTATAACTCGAAAAGTAGTGAGCGATTTTGTTCATATTTGGTATGTGAATACTATAAGCATGGTACACCGTCTATTTCAAATGACGCTTTTGGTAGAAGGTGGCCATTTTGAAAAATGGCCGCCATTTTAACGTATTTTACTATATCTCGAAAAGTAGTGGAGCGATTTTGTTCATATTTGATATGTGAATACTTTAAGCATGGCACATTGTCTAATAAAACTTGGGGAGTTTTGAAAATGGTGGCCTTTCTGGTGTGTTGTTTTATGATATTTTGCTTCGTTTGTAAAAATGCCAGCCATTTCTGTTCGATGGGATTCGCTACGCTTTGGCGTTGCCGTTGTTCTGGTTACACTAGATTTCATTATGATACATGTACTAAATTGAAAACTTACATATAAAATATCTTAAGTCATATATTCTAGTAATAAATGAATTAGAATGTCACCTAACATTTGATGATGGTATGAATTTATTGATTTGGTGTCTATCAATACATGTTTCTAACTTAATGCTGCAAAATGATAAAATTCACCACATCCACTTTCTTCAATTTTCCAGGGGTAGGGCACTATAAAGTCATATTAAAATTACAAAATAGTACTTCATAACTAAAATAGATGTATTACAATACCACACATAGCTTGGAAATGTTTTTAAAATACTACTATGCGCTGTTAAAAGTGTCATATTTTGCTTGAAGCTACAAATATAAAATTGGCAAGACAAAAATTGCATATCTTTTTCCTGTTTATTGTATTTTTTCTGAGACCAATAAGGGTATCAACCTATAACTTTAGGATAGTATTCATATTTGTACTAGCAATGTATGGTGTACAACTCAGAACAATAGCTCATATATCCTTTGAGTTATGAACTAGTTTCATAGTACCCCCTAAAATATTTTCCTAGGGGGGTAAAAATGTCAAAATTCAGTGTCGTGACCACCCCGTTGAGCTGTCATCTTTTAATATCTTTATCAGCATGAAAAACTGATCGAGTAAAAATAGGTCTGTTGCTTTTTCTAAAAAATGCCTCAAAAACTTGAATTATTAGAATTGGAACCTGTCTAATATACTCAACATTGTAATGGATTCTTGGAGTACTTAAAAGAGTTTTAGTTCACATTTGAAATTGTGCCTTGTTACAATATTTTGCTTTGTATTGACTTTACAAAAGTCTGGTCACAATATCAGTGGAGCAGTGCTATTGTAGAGGATAGAATTTTTTTTACAATAATAAGGGTTCGATGTCACAACATTAAAGAATCAAATGTCAAATTATTACAAAATTATGTTGTAACATGATTGTAGTCTCACTCTACTCATTCTATTGATGCATGAATCCTAAAATATGTGAACACTGTTACTTTGGAAGAAATATGGTTTAAGGTGTTTTAACTTCATCACATAAATTTAAAAAGGTTTTCTCATATGTGTAATGAGACTACAATCACGTCACAACATAATTTTGTAACAATTTGACATTTGATTCTTTGTGACATCATACTCTTGTTATTGTAGAATTATTATACACAGGTTTTACTTCACCTCTTTAGAATCGTATTTAAGACTTCTCGCTTTGCTTTCTCAGATGGGCTGGTACTGGGGACCATTAAGCTGGGATGATGCAGAAATTATCCTAGACAAGAAACCTGATGGCTCATTTCTGGTTCGGGATAGCTCGGACGAGTGTCACATTTTAAGCTTAAGCTTCCGAAATCAAGGCTCTACTCATCATTCCAGGATTGATTACCACAATGGTAGGTTATAGCGCCATCTATACAATATATTAGATGTGAATAATTACAATGATATGAAAATGAAAATGCAGTATACATAGCACTGGCTGATTCAGGGGGGTCGGGGCCCAGGCCCCCCAATTTTTAGGGCCCAAAAATTTGGTATGGCCTCAAATTGGGTATAATTTTTTAAGCCAAATTATCATAAATGGGCCTTACATTTTCAAAATTTGGTTTTGGGCCCCAAAAAAATTTTCCATGCAAGCGCAGAACTTTTTTTTCTTGACTTGAAATGTCCCCCCCCCCCCCCCCTTGTTAGCTTCTGGATCCGCCAGTGCATAATTGATTTTTTGGGGGGGTTGGACAATTTTATTATTCACATGAATTTTTTTTAAATCAATAAAGTAATACAGTTTAATTTAAAACATATTCAGCCATCTACAATGTTTACTATGGTGAAATGCTATATATGGGGTACTATATTTGGATATCTTATAGAGTATGTAGTTAGACTTTTATACAATAAACTAGTGCTTTATTAGAGGAAAGGTTCTGCTAAATAACAAAAATGGGTCTGTTATGATAGCTAAGATTCAATCAGTAAATGTTTTATAATCACAAAGACAACACAGACACAATTGCAGACAAGATTTCACGAGAAAGAGAAAAAATTCAACTTCATAATAACCTATCACTAAAATGCCTCTTAAAAAGGGAGGATTATACATCATCTCGAATGAACACTCACAAAAAATTCTTTTTACTTGAAGAGGATATCTACTCAAATATTGCTGATGCTAAGTGTGCCAAAAAACAAACAACAATGAAGGACCTTTTCAAGCAAAAGTAAAGCAGTGCTATATAACCATAATATGGGATAAGTCATTTGAGAAGCTTAAGATTTTGTACGAGACTATCATATACTTATACTGTCAGTGTATTACAAAGTTTTTACCAAAATATAAGTTATTTTACTAAAATAATGAAATTGTTCAAAATGTAAATAAAAATAGCATATAGGCTATAGGCCATGAACAACATGTATTATTACCACCTAGCCGGGCCAGTTCTAGGGGTTTTAGTGCTAGTTTATTTAGAAGGCGTTTATTTTACTATATCGACCTGAGAAATGTGTGACGTCATAGTGGTGGTCCATATGGACCGGTCTAGAATATATTCTGGACTGGCAATTTTCCCCGGGAAATTAGATATCGTTCAATGCGTAAGATTTTCTTGCTGTTTCAGTCCTGGTCGTTAACGGTGGTAATAATACTAATAACGTCATTTCTGCGAGCAATATAGTGAAATATTGGACCTTGGGCCTTCGGCCCTTGGTCCAATATTTCAATATATCGCCCTTAGAAATGACGTTATTGTACTATTGTTTTCTGACTTAGTATTAAGTGTTCAATATAGTGGACTGAACAATGAAAATCCCCTCCCCCTGATCAACAATATCCTCGAAATTTGAACACCTGCCAATTTGAACGCTTTTGGCTGGTCCCATGGGTGTTCGGATTAGACAGGTTTTGCACGTAGAAATTATATTTCAAAACCTAGTTTTTCAATTCATCGCTGTTCCCACTTTTTCACAAACTAATTCATAAAATTCATATACCAATACCTGCTGTTTCAATATCCAACCTCATTTCAATACACAAGATGCGTGTAGAAATAATCTTGATTTACGTCATAAAAATTCAGTCAAAGTGATACCTCAAAGTGATATTTTATATCTGAATGTAAAATTAGAGGCAAAATTAAATCTAGAAATATGGATTTAAATAGTGTTAATCAAATTTGAAAACTTCTAGGTTGGGGAGATTGTTATAAAATCACGAAAAGTAAAATATCTTTTCTTGTACTGGACAGATAATATTTTCTTTTTCTGGACAAACTGTATTCCCAGTTAATTTTGTGAGTTTTGATTTAACGAATTTTGAGCAAACACGATTTAGCGGCTTTTAAATTTTGCGGATTTCACAAGTTAAGATACCTTTATTCTCTGAATCCTCAAGCTCTGTAAATAAGCTTACCTCATGTACAGTAAGTACACCTCGTCACCTACCTTATGTCATATTTGGATAAGATTTACAATTACTTCTAGATCTTGGTCAATGGTGCGCTTCACCTTAACCTCTATTACATCATCATTTTCAATTTGTAACAGACATTATTGTTTGGTATCCCATTTATCACCTAGTAACCACGGTGTATAACCCAAACGCTCCTACATGCACGACGGAGCGTTTCATTACTGAAATTAAACAAAGAAACGCTCCGGAGTAAGAAAACTGGCTGGCGGGAATGATGAGCCATCTGACGATTTCCCCAATAATGGGAATACGAGGTATGAGTTCCATATTTCGAGTATACCATTCGATGGGTGTGATATTCATGTTGTACTTGGCTGGCTGTTGACGGTTGAAGCAATTAGGAAGAGCTGTACGAAGCAGTATAGTTATCAAAATTCAAAAACGTATTTGTCATTCTACCGGTCAAAACCCCTTTTGTCGATACATGTGATTAGTTGAGCCAAGATTAGAGCACCAACGTATATTTTAGTCAAATTCCAATGCTTCAACGCACCTAACATTATCGTAATAGTGATTTGATGACCGAAAATCCAGTCTTAAAAATGATGACATTCTCATACTCAAGAAACGCTCCGATCTGGTTAACACAGTGAACTGGAAACGCTCCGGTAGTCTAGATCAGTTTAGGAAATATATAGCTTGCCTTTCCCTTTCAGGAAGCGAAAGAAAATATGTATTATACCCCTTGGCATCAAAAGAAGAAAGAGTAATTCACATATAAATTTTAGTTTTTTCTATAGTTTTATGATTTAGCACACATGTAGGCATGACATCATCTAATGTAGGCTTAAATCAGCTAGTTGCACGTTTAGCACCACCAGGTTCAGATGTTTCAATTTGCCTAACAAGTACAACACGTTTTTGAGAGATAGATTCGATTCGGAACTCTTCTCTAATAATCTGAAAATGATATCAAAACAAAATGGTAAGAGCGTTTCTAAAATTGTGTTTTAAATCGACGGAGCGTTTTGAGGAAAACAAGCGATTTCTCGAGAACAAGTAATGTATTTGGACTGGGATTTTAGGAAATGAGAATATACGAGTTTGTGATCTACTACTTTAACAGAAAGATTAACGTTTTCATAGAAATACTAGTTTAATTCATAATTTGTGGTCAAATCGTCATCTTCAGATTCGTTCGATCTACACTACGGAGCTTTGATCAAGCAATATAACAGTTTACCACCAGAAGTTGAATAAATAAGATCTTTCCTTACGGTATTGTTCATCGAATGGTACATAATATTTCACCATAACATATGATATGTAAGAGAAACGAGAGAAACAATACTTACGGTCATAGTGGAATCTTCATTAGCCGCCATTTCATTTCGCTCCGGAGCGTTTCCGCGTAAATGAAACGCTCCGTCGTGCATGTAGGAGCGTTTGGGTTATACACCGTGATAACACTGGACATGAAATACAATGGAGTCCCAGGTATTTTCACAAATCCCTGGGGATTTAATTGACAACTTCGCAAAGATTAATCCGGAAAAGCGTGAGACTAAATCGCAGTATTTTAATTTGTATGACTATCAGATACATAAGGGTGATAAGAAAAATGAACCACTAAAACTGATTAAAATTCAAGTTTAAGGGAACTTTCTACCTTGCCATGTTAAGACCTAACTAGCCACCTGGTGGTAAAACTGGTAACTACCTACTCGCATCTGGGTTATTATCTATTTATAACTTGTATTTTTCAGGGACATATGGATTCTTCTCTCAACCTGCCTCTCACGGATATCACTCAATCATAGACTTTATTGACTCCATAATCACGAACAGTGATTGTGGACGCTTCCGCTATTTCATCCGCCAATCAGCACCAGGCGTTGCACCCATTCCCATTTCTGCGCTTCACCCGGTATCAAGGTTTAAATACATGAGATCGCTGCAGCATATTTGTCGGTTCCTGCTATTGAAACATGTTCGTTACGACCATATTGACTCACTCCCCCTGCCCAATAGGGTGAAGGCATATTTAAGAGAACCGCAGTATTATGCGGAATATTTACGCAATGAGGACCAGGAGACAGATGATGATGAATGAAGTATTTCCAAGTGTGTTTCCAAAAAAGCTTTCTGTTGAATGCTGTTGGGAATGTATAATCTGTAGTACACTCCAGGGGTTTCATTAGCATAGGCATCCGGTGATATTCCATAACTGTTTTCAATAAAGTCACCCACTCGTTGTTTTAAGGAACTTCACAACAGTACTATTTTTTATATTGAATTGTGCTATTGTTCTCATTCAATATGCCTATTGTCAGAATTTCTGATGAAACCCCTGTAGTCTGTCATCAAATCTCCCAAACCTGCACCAATATCAGTTCCCTTTTGCTGTGTATGTGCTATGTTACTGGGGGAATATAATAAAGAGATGATTTTTTAAGAGTCTCTTCATAAAAACAGAATGACTAAGTTGTCTTCCCAGTATCATACTGCCCCAAGATTTTGACTCAGCCTGCTTCATTAACTTTGGGAATTTTTACTTTATCAGCCATGTTATTTGTGGTTATGCGCTAGACTGTCAAGGAAGAAGTTAGCATGACATACTGTTTATGTGTATATTTAGGTAATATTGTGTCCCTACAGTGCAGTTTGTAATTAACTTAGCTAAATGCATTGCAATTTATTTACTGGTATACATAACATAAAAATAGTAAACATCAATATCTTGTACATTTATTAAATATTAGTAATATATTTTTGGTTTTGAACAAATACTTCTGTAATTCTTGATTTTGTTTAACCAATGTTATGTGAATGAGGGCAATAAAATGTGTGCACACTGAACTCATGCCATGTCCAACTGTGATTGATTGATCTATAAACGTGATCTGGTGTCCAGTCCTCTTAACCCAATACTATCTAAAATGTAGTTCATACAATATACATGTAAAGTTATATAATGATTATGATTGTTCTATTTTTATCAAAATATATAATTCACAATAACACATATGCAGCATATGCCTTATTTTTGTGTCTAGCGGTTCATTTTTAAAATTGAAATAATTGAATTAATTATAAATGAATTAAAATCATATCTTTCTCATATCCCCTAAGATGAACACATTCGAACGTTGAACATATTGTCCAAAGTGAAGTACTCCTACTGAACTATCAAGATGTAATTCCTCAGTTCCATTTGATCTACGTATGGCGGTCGTAGCTTCCCCAACTCGAGAGAAATAGTATACAGCATAGAATACAGGGATAAGCAGTAGGATGTAGGTTTTCTATGTCGATTTTGTGAGGCTTCAGCCAACGTAGAGCAAATGTGACTAAGACTTATGTCATATAATCTGTACCATACACTGTTATCTATATCGGTAATAGTGTTATGGGAAACTTTTATTGCTCCATAATGCCCATATAGTATCTACACTTATGGGACAACAAAGTAAGAAAATAGACTCTTTCTGAAAAAATTGCTCACAACATTCTTTGTCATGCTTTGTTTTTAGAAAGTCGACATCTTTTATTTCTTTGATTTTAGGTTATTAAGCAATCGTTTTCTGAAAAAGTGTTATCCCTCATTTCAATTCTGATGAACTTGGATATTTTAGTATCTTAAATCTGCTTTCAGCTTTCATATTAGCTCAAATTACAATAAGACTGTGAGGGAAATATTGAATTGCTTTTTTTAAAAGAATCATTCCAGATGTTTATTCGACACAATAGTAAATACAACATTAAGAAATGGAGAAGCTGTTATATTTAATTTATGAATAAGTCCAAGGGGCTATAAACAATAACTTAAGGCAATTTGGAATAATCAGTGCAGTGCAAAGTGAAAAATGGTCTTAGAAATGGTCTCATTACATATTTTCATGGAGCTCTCCACTAGACTGTGTTGAAACTATATGCTTATGTTCTGTGAAATCTGTAAAGTGGGACATCTCTAGAAATTGAACACCTCTGTTAGTGGAACACTTCAGAGTTGCAAAGTGTTCTTAGAAATGGTTTCATTACATATTTTCATGGGGCTCTCCACTAGACTGTGTTGAAACTATATGCTTATGTTCTGTGAAATCTGTAAAGTGGGACATCTCTAGAAATTGAACACCTCTGTTAGTGGAACACTTCAGAGTTGCAAAGTGTTCTTAGAAATGGTCTCATTACATATTTTCATGGAGCTCTCCACTAGACTGTGTTGAAACTATATGCGTACATGTATGCAGGTATGTACAGTGTTGAAACTATATGTGTATGTACAGTGTTGAAGCTATATGCTTATGTACTGTGAAATCTGTAAAGTGGGGCATCTCTAGAAATTGAACACCTCTGTTAGTGGAACGCTTCAGAGTTGCAAAGTGTTCTTAGAAATGGTCTCATTACATATTTTCATGGAGCTCTCCACTAGACTGTGTTGAAACTATATGCGTACATGTATGTACAGTGTTGAAACTTTATGCATATGTACAGTGTTGAAACTGTATGGGTATGTACTGTGAAATCTGTAAAGTGAGACATCTCTAGAAATTGAACACCTCTGTTAGTGGAACACTTCAGAGTTCCAAGATCAACTGACTTAATGATATATGAACCTCTGTATTAGATGAACAGTTTTTTTTGAAGTACCAAATGTGTTCCACTTAGACAGGTTTTACTGTTCATTCAAACCTGATGTGTTGATTCAGGTCTCTGACTCCCACTCCCTATTTTTAGGGTGAGAAGGGGAACAATGAACACAGTAATGGCTTACATTGATGCTAGACTAACCTAGGGTCATAGACAGAAACTTTGTCAAGAATTCCTAAGGCAGTTGTCTTCACCATTGATTGTTATGATGATGTCATGTAGTAATTACGAGGAGACAAATGGACTATTAGAAGTCTTATATTTTCAAAGGTTTAATGTCAATGACCCTCTAGTGTTCAAAGGGGCACCACACGACAGAGACATGTTGAGGATAAGCTTTTGAAAATTTGTCAACTTTTATTTTTTCTTGTATCATTCCTTTCCTGTACATTCGGACTCTATTTCTTGAAATATGTTCACATGTTTAATTTTGATGATTTCTAAAATGTTTGATTATCTTGACATTTCAAATCTTCTTTTATCAAACTTATGGCTTCAAGGTGTACATTGACAAGTTTAGTATCCCACCGAATAAAGTTCTAGGGGGATATACAGAAGCTGTATAAGTGGTAATTTTGCTTGATCGTTTAATTTTCCTATTACCTAATTTTTGCCATGTTGGGAAAAAATATCAGAAAAATTATCTTCATAATGTTATCCAATTGGAAGTTTCTTGTCATTAGGAAAATTAAAATCAGGAAAATGATAAAATGTGCAGCAAATTAACCACTCGGATTAAATACAACTTATACAGTAAACATATACACTCTCCTTCATGTGTCTTTCAACCTGAAGTTTCCTTTTGAGCCACTAATATTAAAGCATGTTTATAGATGTAGTTGGTGATTTAAAACGGATCATCAAATTGACTGTAAATATCCAAACCATTATAATTGAGGGACAAAATTGGGACTTTGATATGTTATCTTATGAAAACTTCAAGTTGCCAAACTTGTGGAGTGGAGTGTATATTTGATGAATTCATTGATTTGCAAAAGTAGCTTTGAGAATTCTTGTTAATTAATGTATGTAAAATGCATATATGTGCCATAGATAATTATGTAATAACGACAATGGTTTAAAGTTAATGCATATGCAAGTATAAAGAATTATTATATGAAAAACAACCATATGAAAACAAATGTAAATGTGTCCAAATTGTTGTGTAAATTTGTAAAAACCCGATGTCATGTAAAGTAACTAATTCATGAATAAAATTATTAAAATCTTTATATTTAAAAAATTGTTTAACTGTCTAGGTTGAATATGCTTTGTCCGTGTGATTCTGTCTCAGCCAATGAGCTTTGAGCATTCCAATGCGTTAATTTATTGGTTTTTGCAGGAAAATGATTTTACAATTGTGTTTTACAGGATGAACTTTCTGAGCAGTGCTATTCTTAAAAAGCGGTAACGGCATATCAAGTTTCCGTAATTTTTCTGAAATGCATGTATTCCCATATTTATACTATAGTTTTATCAAAGTTTGTTATGTGAAACTTTGTTTTTAAATGTCAAAATGTGGTTTTAATTTTTGTTAAAAAAATCGTGAATTTATTTAAAACTAACTTTTAGCTGTTTAGAGGTCACATATATCTCTAAATAAGCGATCATTTACGCCAATGCATATAGCATTCCTCACGTGTGTTTTGCAATTAAGAAAATTGGTTCATAAATAAGCGAGAGATGCATTCATGCATGAAAATGGTTCAGAGAAAAATGCATTTCAAAATTTTAGTCCTCATAGAAACCAATGGTACGATAATATTCCTTTCAACCTGATAAGACATTCAACATTGGTTTATTTTTGAAGATTCATTTAGAAATTTGATTTGAAAAGCTGACAACTATTTTTTCAAAAATATCTAAAATAATATCATGACAAATAGAAAATAAATGAATGATGAAAACATATTTTCAAACTTTACACGGAGACTGCAAAGCTATGTTTCCATAATGTGTTCGTGCGATCTATGTGTTTAAGCTCACCTTATAAATATGCAAGAAGATCGAATATAATACCGACACATCCGTTTTTGTCACATTTACAAATGCCAAGTCTTCCCTCAAATTTTTTTTGTATTTTCGCGGGAATGTAACGTGACCCATTACATTACCCCTGTATAAATCATTAATCGAATCACGGTTTTGCCGCATTTTAGTCATTTCAGATTAATTAATGAAATATTATACAAATATTGAATTCTGTGGAGTTGAATATCTGTATTTATCCTATGCCAAGTAGAGTTTTAGGGAGATAAGTTGGTAAGATATATCCCGTATCCTGATTTTGAGGTTTCCATATCCTGAACCTCCATATCTCCCGCCATATCTCCCGCTCCAGGGCATATCTTCCCGCTTCGAAAAAAAATTGAAAAAATAAGAAAAAATTGAAAAAAAGAAAAAATGTGAAAAAATTGAAAAGAATTAAAATTAAAAAAAGAAAAAAATAGAAAAAATGTGAAAAAATTGAAAAGAATAAGAAAAATGTGAAAAAATTGAAAAAATAAAAAAATTGAAAAATTGAAAGAAAATTACAAAACTCTATTTGGTATAGGATAAAGCAGTTATGTACGGTCGGTTTGGATATTGGGTTCATCCATCGTGAGATATGCACATCTACCTGAGGGACCGTAGGGACCCTCTGGATAAACCCCATATCCAAAACCTCCCAGTACATAACCCTTATATATTACTGAAGGTGTATTCATCGCAACCCGAATGGGCTTCTCAGTTATACCATGATATTGCGTGATATCATTGCGTGATTTAAATACTGTGGCCATTATCAAATATCTCGGATTCGGCTGGTGGTTTAACCAGAGGCATGTAATAACATTTATTTTATGTCTCTGGTGTAACTTACTATTTCATGACCAATTCATTTTAATATGAATATTACCCGCCACTATACCATTCATATTTGAATGAGTTGGCCATAAAAATAGTATGTTAATCCATCAGCCGTCAGTTGAATTCGAAAGTGACGCAAATAGGAAGAAACTTGAATATCAGTTGTAAGCAACGTCTTAGGACACATCAATAATTCAAAGGCAACACTAATGATTGCCTAGCTGGACCTTGCTTTAAAACATGGGCCCTCTCTGTTGGAAATACCTGTCAACAAGGAACAGTTTTGGCCAGTCCGGAGAGCGTTCCTTGTTCGTAGGTCTTACCGCATATGTACACGGTAGTTTTGAAACGTTAATTCAATCTATTTAAACATAAAGTTTAATTTCAATTACAATTTAAAATCGTAAAAGAATAAAATAATGGAACAAACAGATAAGAATTGCAAAAGCTAGGGCGATAGCCAGTTGAATACGATTTCTGAGTTGGGGCATTTTCGTATAATTTAAATCTGCTAAATCCCTGATGTGATTCACTGGGAAGCAATGGTATCATGGTTTTACATCTAATTATATTCAAGGTATGATTATTCGAGGAGCAAAAAATCTAAATATCAAACATGTACATCATACTAGTATAAGTAAGCACTACGTATAATTATATTGCGTAATTTCAAAAGTTTACAGGAGTCAGTAACGATGGTTAATGCTCTGGGTGTTTTCATAGCACTGTTCAACAACTAGTTACCTTGACGGAACGTCAATGTAACAAAATGGATGAACTTCCTGGTTACGACTTTTTTGTTTTCTCCATTTAAACTTACGTATAAGTCATGTTGCGAATTATCATTTAGCACAAAGCACAATATAGTCAAGCTTTCAGAAATGCTCTCGGATGGGAATTTGATTTGTAAATAAAGCTGTAATTCCTGCATTTAGACCATCGCTTTTGTTACATTGACGTAAGTCGTCAAAGTAACATATATTGGTGAAATGACGGACGTTCGTCAATGTAACACAAGGCATTAACATGACAAAATGTCACCACCTAGTTGCTCACAATATTTTTAGTTAAATCTTAAGTCAGATTTGAATTCCTGAGAACTTGTAGATGATTTTGAAAATAAAAATTGGTCAATTTGAAGCAAGTTGAAAAAAGACCTTTTCAGTTGATGATATAACGTATTTATTTTCACCACAAATACGCCAACACATTAGTCACGTTTGCGAATTGTTCGCGAATATACCCCGGGTAAAATGTTGACTTTGTTTACTGTTTATAGAAGGCTTGAATACAGCCTCGAACTAATATTAGTTACATCATTTGGCTGTTGGAAAAATGTAAAATATGGATCTGAGGATGTTTATCCATACAGAAACCTTCACGCTTGCCAGCAAACATTGCAGCAAAAAAGGCAAGTAATGTTTTAATGTTTAGCTTCTACAATGAAAACAGTTGATTTTTTTTACATATATACAGTATTCTACTAACACACCATTCTTACAGGGTTTTTAGGTATTTGCAAGTTACTTTTATAAATATTTGGATATTATTGTTGTATTATATGGTTCATTGGCGGATGTGGAAGCTAACAAGAGGGGGGGCACGGCAAGTCTAAAAGGGCCCACTTATTGAAAAACGATTCTGGACCCACCCTAGGAATGGGAGGCATGCCCCCCCCCCCCGAATCCATCAGTGTGGTTGCTTTGGAAACAGCATTTGCCTGTTCATAAAATGTCAATTTGCATTTAGTTTTGTATAAAGGGAACAACATCTATCCTTACTTATTGTAGATTGTTAGTACATGTAATGTTTTTTGTCAAGTTTGTGTAGTTTCATTTCTATGCATGTGTACACCGGTGAATAACTCAAATAAGCTGAGTTGTTCGACAATATATTTACAGTTTTGAAGTGAAAATAGATAAATCTAAATCAGGATTTTTGACATGCTGACCCGTTTGTGTTTTTTCATTTGTTCCTTTGACATTTGCAAACCTGAATTGCCGACTGTTGCAAATCAATGTGTTCCTATTGCTGTATTGATCAAAACACAAAGAACAACGCAATAAAGTTGAAACTACCATTAAAGCACCTTAGGAACTTAAATCCATAACGGGGATTGAAATGGAACCTTAGAATCTACACGTAACACACCATACGGTTAGTGATATGAACATGTTATCTCGATATGAGTGCTACTGAAAGTAAAGATGGAGGTGATGCCATCTTGGAACGTATGAACAACAACCAAGGTACGAACGAAATGATGAGAGGAGATATCAATGTTTTCCCAAATGAGAAATTCTAAATCGCACATCTATCCTGGCCGGTGAATAATGGATTTATCATATAAATCGTAGCTATTGTTTTGTGGATACTGTTTTATTGATTTTGTTGACTGCTATGTCGTTTGCATTTGTCTTCCTGATTTTGCTGTTTCTGTTTTCTGATGTCGTTGCTATGGCGATCATTTGGTTATAACGTTAAAACGTTAATCATAGCAATAATGACCTTCGATAGGAAGTCGCTACTACCGTCTGAGCTGTAGTGGCTAGCCCTTATGGCTCAGGGGTAGAGCATCGGCCATTCTTTTCGTCCCATTGGATTACATTGTGGGCGACGCCCACTTTTCAATGGAAAGCATTATTTCGCACTTCTTTGCTTATCATTTGCCGGAAATTATTGGAAATTGTTTTCCTGTTATAGGCCTAAGCATTTGGATATACATCAAAACAATTTAAATTGATGCAAACTAGATTGTTCTAGCACTTTTTGTCGCCGAGATATTGTCAGTCTACTAACTTGTAGTCTACTGAGGGAGGGGGTCAAAAATAAAAATTGATTTCAGCCACTTTTATTCTTAAAACATGTTTTATTAGATTTGCAAGGGGATACTTTGTTATTTTATGATCAAACGATATTCAAATCGTTGACAGAAAAGAAAAACATTCGTGAATTTAGCTGCCCGATATATGCATTTTTTTATTTGTTCGACCCCTGGACCAGTAGATCTGCAATATCTTTGCAATAAAACGTGCTAGAACAGTCTAGTTTACATCAATTGAAAGTGTTTTGATGTATTCTCAAATGCTTATATCAGAAAAAATGATTCTAACCAGTTCTGGTAAATGAGCAGCAAAGAAGTGCGAAACATTGTTTTCCATTGAAAAGTGGGCGTCGCCCACAATGTAATCCAATGGGACGGAAAGAATGGCCGATGGACCAGTTTTAACGTTATCCGATTTTGTTGAAAAAAATAAGTGAACTACCAGTATACAATTGTTGACCTCTCCAGAGGTCAACCGGCAAAATTGTATACCGAGACTGTAAACCGAGAAACTTCTGTTGACAGAGACCGAAGGTCGAGGTCAACAGTAGTTTCATGGTTTACAGTCGAGGTATGATTTTGACGGTTGACCGAATTGAGAGGTCTACAATTGTTTTGTTAGTCAGAAGAAACTAATAATACACATATAGACGACAGTCATCAACCATGGCTTCAATTCACAATCTTTTCTCCGAACCACGCCAGCAATAATTTTTTAAGAAAATCTGAAGACAGTGGTAGTTATTCTCTCTGTTTTTGGCACATAGCAGCGTACTCACTAGTAAATTAATGTTAATTAATTCCTAAGTGTAGTACAGTGACATAAGCGGTCAATAATATGATATCCCATGATGCACAGGTGAGGTACAGGCAAAAATGTTGACCGCTAATTGACCAATCAGAATTCATACGTATTTACACTGAGGTACTAACAATACCATTTGTAACCCCCTGTTAAAGGGCCGTTGTAATCTGAGAACATTCTTGAAAAATGAAACACCCTATTGTGGCTATTTTCTGAAGATTTAAAAAGGTGCATACAGTATGTTAGGCCAATGCATTATTTAAAGGAAAGGTAGTTTTAGAGATGAGAAAATAATTTGGACTTTGAGACAGGGAAAATGCAAACACCCCATCGACATCTTCTCCAAAACTATTTCTTGAAAAGAATATTTTCAACCTCTTCCACTCCTGTTTTTTCAATGTTTTATGCATCAATATGTTGCATTTGTAGACATAGTTAGCCTCTTAAAGTGGAAAACAATATTTCCCGAAAACTCATGCGATCCATTGTTTTCAGCCTAATTTTGGTCAACCAGAATTGGTATATTTAAAATCCCTACTTGAATCCCATTTTCCTTTTGAGAGGTTGTCTGTGTCTCTAAATGCAACACATTGAAGAATTGAAAACTGAAAACACGAGTGGAAGGGGTTGAATATCAGGAAAACATTTCCAGAAAAAAAATGTTGGCGGGGTGTTTGCACATCCCTTGTCTAAAGGCCAAATTATTTTATCATCTCTATAACTGCTTGTCCTGGAGTTAATGGATTTGTTTACTATATGCACATGAAATAAAAATAAGCTATTCTCCTGGAGGAAATGTGATATGGGGAATATCACAAGGAAGATATCAATATGTCCTGAGGGAGCGCAGTGACAGAGGTGACAAACCCCACAGGTGACAGGACATGTTTTAATTAATAGTGGTCACCCTCAAGATATCCACTCGATCAGAGCTGCTTTATCTCTAGGCATCAGCATATAAAATTTGATCCAAATCCGTCAACTGGTATTTAATATATCAAAGATTGCGTTATTTTACGAAAAATGGCAGCCATTTTGAAATTCGAATGCCATCTTGAAAATCTCTTCATTAGCAAAACTGCTTTGTCCCTTGGCATCAGCTTATAAAAGGATCTAGTGCACTCTCCATTATGATATCCCCATGAACAAAATGAATCATTTTTAGGTGTAACATGAAGAATTCAATGTCACATAATACTTTGGAAAATACTTAAGCGTTTGAACCCACTTGGGCTGAGTTTGGAGTCGTAAAGTTTAGCAAGGGTGTATTGCCTTGACATTGGACGTGCTCTATTGACTTAACATGGGTATACCATCATATCCCAATAGAGACCATTGGTTTCCATTGCCAATCACAAAAATACGAAAAAATACACTATGACCTGAATCGATTGCAAATTAGATAATTTCACAATATGACACAAATGGTATATCACATCAGATGTGCAAATATGAAGTTTGCAATCGATTTAGGTCATACTTCAAATTAAAAGATTATACATTTTTTCATCATTTTTTCCTACAAAATGGCTACAGAAAAATGCTTCAAAAGCAACTTCTGCACTTATAAATTGCCATACAACTTTGTAAATCCAAAGATTATACTATTATGTTCCATGAGTTAGTAACATATTTGGATAAGATGTAAGGATGTGCAGGATGCAAATGGATTTTGACAGACAGAAAGGCCTTCCTGGCTTGGCATCTCTACACCTGTACACTTTATGATTGAATATTGGCCCTAATAAGTGGCCCATTCATCAATACAGTGCTGAATATAGGTCAATAAGATACTAGTTTACATATATATATAATAATAAAAGCAGTATATTCATTTTGAAAAATCAGATGATATAATTTTTGTTCATGGGGAAATCATAATGGAGAGTGCACTAGATCCTTTGGACCAAATCTATCTACTAGTATTGTACAGTACCGTGAAATATGGTACCATACGGTACCGTAGACTAAAATGGTACCATACAGTACCGTGAACAGTGTACGGCGTCATACTCAAACGGTACCATACTGTTAATACTGTACTGTACATACTGTACGGTACTGTGCAATTTTAGAGTGCGGATTGGGGGTGATTTGAAAAATTACATTTTGTTATTAAAAATGGTGGCCATTCTGATTTGGGTGCTCATATTGAAAATTCCATCTCGAGCATAAGCAGTGATCTTGCACTCGTAACCTTTTTCCATATAAATGAAAAATAGATGGCATCATGGGTATTGGTAGGGCGGGGGTAGGCACAGAATACATGTAAATGTATTATCAGAGTCACTTAATTTCTTGATTTAAGAAGTAATTTCATTTGGATCAACTTAAAACTCCATTGGAATGTAACTATATGATCTTATTTACATGTGGATTGTGATTTCACATTATAATTGTCATCCTTGTAAGAAAAAAAGAACTTTTAAAGGTTTTTCAGCACTGTTTCAATGGGGATTTAGCCCGACCTTTTTTAGACAACTAGAAAATCATTAGAATTTGAATAAAGATAAATAACAGTGCAAATCAAAGTTGTTTTGATAGAAAATTAAACACAGAATTTAAATATGGCATCAAAAAGAAGAAAATGTTAGTCTTTAATGGTTAAAAATGCAGGTCTCCCAAAATCTCATTAAAAACGAGACTTTAACAAGATTTCAAAGCTATATGGAAAAAGGACCAATCAGACGAATGGGCGGCTTCTCTATATCCTCCTCGAATTTCGTTTGGTGTGATAATCAAATTTGCAACTCTTTATAAAGGGCAAAATTTAAGTGTCTATTAAGATAAAGAATAGAGTATTGGAAATATCATACGGCAAATAACTTAAGGCTGATTCAGCATCGAGAAAAATGCTGATCGGGAAACTCTCCATGAACAAGCAAAGCAACTATGTTGTAAATACGCAATCAAATATATTGATTGTGATAACGGGAGTTTGCATTCACACCCAAACTAACTGTTAAGTGTATTTATTGATATACTGCTATTATATATAATTATGCCCTTTTGGGATCAATTGTATATATTGATCGCTGTATTCCTTGCGAATGTATTATTTGGAATCAATGTATAAGAAAACAAGTCTTGGCAAAATTCAAATATGGACGCTTTATTACCCACTCTGTATTTTATGAATTCTCAGCATTTGCTTGGCTATTTTTAAATCGTCAATGATACGTATCATGTATTTTAGGTACGTGTTTTAAATTGTACCTTGTACGTAAAATAAGCAAAGGAAAACAAAATATTGTTATCGTTTTCTACAAAATAATGAATAAGATTAATGTGTTTTGAAAAGTTCAATGAGATATTTAGAAATATTAATATTATTGTTTAGAAAAGTATTGACGGGTGTATTTAATGAGAATCATTGATTTGATTTTCCATTGTTTCTGCTCTGTTGTTTTATTCCTTTTGAGAAATACGAGTTCACATTGATTTTTCTCCAGTGCTGATGCTATTAACATCAAATTATAAAAAATGGAAAATTTTATGTTACCATTCGCTATTTTTGTCAATTATTTTATCTTCTGGGAAAGTGTACACCAAGCAAAGCGATAGCCAATACACGATTAGGGTACAGTTTTACTGGGATAACGCGCTCGCACACAAGGGCATCCTTACAACTAGTACAGTGGATGAATTGGGACTGCCGTAACTCAGGCATGCCCCATATTCCCCAAATTGTTATCCTAGGTTACATTTAATTACATGGTGAACTTAAATGGAAGCTATTGAAGTGGAATCAATTAGTTTTCAAAATTCAGGTGATTTAAGAAAATATGTTTTGGGAGCATTCCAAAAATTAGTAATCATGAATTTCGCGATCTCGCGTGGGTACTACGATGAAAAATACAATGCTAATAGAGGCAATTATGTAGAGTTATATGTTTAAAATAACTGAGCAATTAAATATTCACGATTTTGAAAATATAAAGTGTCATTAATATTGTCCTTTTGAAATGTTCATTCCATTTTCTACAAAACAAATAATTTTCCTAGGGTGACGTAACATTACATCAGGGTACCATATTTACCTTAAAATCAACCAACCAAATAGAAGAGTTTTTAAAATTGGAATTTACATTCAATTGTGTTTGGGGAACATCTGTACCCACGCGTGGTACCAGGTTTCATGAAGATTAGTCTAACTTAGCATTGAAATGTCAACAACTTTGACGTTACTTCTGGATCAACCTGTATGTCGATTAACCAACGAAAACACATTCAGCAGATCGATAAATGCATGAGGAAAACATCGAGGTATGATACTATGTTATCTAGTTGGTGTTTGTCCAGTTTTAAAGAGGAAAATCATGAAGTACCCTATTTTCATCCAGATACAGTATGTTAATCTTTAAAAATCCTCGGAGATTTTGTCATTTGAGACATCTCCTCCAGGAGATTTTGGGAGACGATATGTGGCTTTATTAGAGAGAATAAATGGTGTACTTTCATGCAAATTATCTCGATTAGAGAACAGGTTCATATCATTGCATTTGATAGGCCTCGTTGGATTGTTAAAGCTTACCTTCCATGCGGTCCAGGAAATTATTTCTACAATATACGGCTTAAAAGTAATACGATTGATTCGATTGATTGCATTTGCCTACTGTAAGTATTTTGCACAGCCTAGTTGACAATTGTCAAAACAACAAGTGCTTAAGATATATGAAGAAGTTTATTTCGATTTAAATTCCAGTGATGGGGATTTATGGTACCAGAAAATGGAGATTCCTGTTTTTAACATTTGCCCTTATCATTATGATTTACGCCTTCGATGTACTACTAGACCTGCGTCAATTTGCACCAGTAGGAAATCACAGAAATTGGACAAAGTTTGGATATGACCGTCAGGCTTCAGTCCACGGGCGTATGAAATGCAAACAATTTACAGCAGAACTTCCAAATATTACAAGAGAGCGTCACGCGCTGGCTCCCGATGCATTTTATAATTTAGTATTTAATAACACTTACTTGGATGAGATCGAGTTTATTCATAAAGCGCATGGTATATGTGATCGAGAAAATGTTGGGGAATTTCTGTTTATGGTAAAACTTATAAGCGATGCAACAGGTAAATACAGTATATTTGGTATTATTTATCGAATAGAATAGAAAAAAGTGTGTGTGTGAAAAACAAAAAATCATCGCACGTTTTTGTATTTTTGAATAGTTTTTAATAGATGGTCCTTCATTATTGATTTAGTATAATGATTAAAGACACCGGCCTTTTTAAAACACGCCTAACCATCGACAACGTACAGTGACAAAATATACCGTCGTACACTTTAGATGTACGGTGTCACCGTATTTAACCGATTTGAAGCAAAGACGATGATGTAGGTTTGATGTAGGTTTTAGAAAAATAATCTGAGGAATGCACTATTAAGGATTTCATGTTTGATTTTGTGTGTATTCGTTTGGGAAGACATTTAACATTCTAATAAAGTTAAAAGATTTTCGAACAGTGCTTGCTTTTTTCGTAGTCAATCTACCCATATAATTGGTCGGTTGGAAAATGTATTTTTTTATACATTTTCTTTGATCATTTCCTCCCCTGTCGTCTAAGAGTGTCGAATATTTTTATGAGAATATGTTTCTTTTAACTACACGATTAAGGTCTGTTGAAGATTAGATAAGTATTATCGTTTTGGCTATAATTTAAAAAATCATACGTGTACGTTGTCAACTCGAATGTACGATGACAACGCACATTTCTGATTTTTTAAATCACAATAAATACTTGAATTAGTGAATCTGAAAACATAGGATCACATCCAATGCTAAGGGCTGATCTGAAAAAGTCACTCCACCCTGGTGGGAAACGAACCCACAACCTTCCGACAGCATGTCAGGTGCTTTACCACTTGAGCTACGGAGCCGACTGACTCTCTTACATTAACATTGCATATATGGCATCACAGCCATGACTTACATGCCCAGTCTCCTGGAGCCATTATGAAGTTTACCTGTCTTTCCAGCTTGTCAATCACACTATTCATGATGTCACATGGTCTTTCCCATGTCTCATTTCCCAAAGGAGAAATCACTAGTCAATCTGAAAGCATAGGATCAAATCCTATGCTAAGGGCTGATGTGAAAAAGTCACTCCACCCTGGTGGGAACGAACCCACAACCTCCCGATCAAAGGAAATGTGTAAAAACAACATTTTCCAACCGGCCAATTATATGGGTAGATTAACCACTAAAAAATCGAGCAGAATGTCTTCCCAAACGAATACTCACAAAATCAAACTTGAAATCCTTAATGTATTGTTCAGATGATTTTTAAAAACCTACATCAAATCTACACCACTGTCTTTCAAATCGATTAATGGTGACACCGTACATCTAAAGTGTACGACGGCGTGTTTTGTCACTGTACGTTGTCGATGGTTAATCGTGAAAAGAAAACCTACTAGTATTATATTAAATTATATATATTATTATATAAAAAATGCTGGTCTTCTCTCATTGTCATATGCCTGATGGGAAATTGTTTCTCTTAATTCAAAGTCACTGTTTTTGCATTGAACACTCTATCTCTTAAAATACAAGCACAATTGAGAGTTATACATGTTATACCAAGATTGTAAAGTCACAATTTTAGGTAGTCTCCCCCTTGCAAAATTCAAGGCTTCATGACGAATGGTATGCGTTTATATGTATTTTGATATATTTCAATAGAAACGGCTGCTTCGTTCCGGCATGCAATACGGAAGACATGGGGTAGTGTAAGGAAAAGGTCACGCTGGAGCATCCGTGTTGTGTTCGCAATAGGACAAACTGAAAATACGACACGCACGAATGCAATCGATAAGGAAAGTAGGAGATATGGAGATATCGTACAAGGCACATCTGCCGATTCCTATCTGAAACTTGCAGATAAAACAATCATGTCTTTCAGATGGCAACAAGAGTATTGCTCAAATGCGATGTACGTCTTTCATGGTACACACGATATTGTTGTTAACATGGACAAACTTATTGCATGGGTTGATGACTTTTATTTACATAATACTTCTTCTGAACGGGTATATTTTGGATATCCTATGTTCAATCCAAGGATTCTACACGAGGGTATTTATAAATTGTATTCCCCTGTCCAATGGCCAGCTGGTAAATACCCTTTTTACCACCCTGGTCATGGGATAATTTACTCTATGTCATTTATACGTCAAATGAACGCTATGTTCTGCAGAACTCCCATAACCAACCCAGATGACTGCTATCTCGGAGCAATTGCGGAAGCCATGGGAGCAAAAGAATATTACTTCAGAAACTTCCATGCCGATTACAATGGAAAAATAAACAAAAATGTTGTATATTTACATTTGGGTCACACGGGTAAAATGAAGCGTAATGAAACAGAAATGTACGAATGGATGGCTGAAATATACAATGGTTTTATAAAGTGACTTCAGTCTATATCTAGGATTATGTAAAATTATAATATCAGTTAACATTACATCAGATTTTATACGGGACGAGTACAGGACGAGTATTATTAGATATTGTAGCAATGATCAATATCAAAAGGGTGTCTCACAAAAATGTACCTAAAAGTATATCAACAGTCCAGCCTGTATCCTTATTGCTACATTGCTTTGTTCATCACAGTTGATAATGTTAATGTTAAAATACACTGGCTTTCTCTTCAAATGTTGGCCTAAATTGTTCTACGTCTCTTGGCTTTAGATCGGCATAAACATTGTCGTCCAACTTCCCCAAAAGAAATGAATCCGCGCCATCTTTATACAGAGAGATCAGACGTTCAGGAAACTCCATTCGAAGAAATTCTCATGTGGCCTTTGCTGTGTGTGGAAGGAATATGATTCGGTCTCCGAGCTAGCCTGCGTAGCTCTGAAAGGTAGCGCTTCTTAATAATTTGATAATTGAAAATTGACCTAGTTGTCTGTGATTGTTCTGCCGGCGTCATCATCGAGCATCGTGTGATACTTGTTACGCGGTATATGGCATACATTCATGGTTGCGCGGTATTTGTGATACGGGTGAATATGCCATACTCACCTGCGGTATATGGCATATTCCGCAGGTGAGTATGCGATATTCCGCAGTGAATATGCGATACATCGGTTTCAGTGAATAACCGATACTCACCAGCGGAATATGTCATACTCACTTGCGGAATATGCCATATACCGCAGGTGAATATGACATATACCGCAGGTGAAAACGTGATACAGAAAGCCTTGATTTGATTGGTTGCGAGAATCGACTCTAAATGTAAAACTACGCTGGATTACCAATATAATTAGTGCGTCGAGTACTAATATATGAATCCTGGATTGATTGAGTAAGTTAATTACGCGAGATTGGTGACTGATACTTCTGCTAAGTTAATATATTCGATACACAGTACTGTTGATTCAGTAATCATTATAATAATTTATAACGATTTACTTGTTCGTTCAATCGATGCAATTGACAATTGCGTACTTCCGTATCACGTTCTCATTGGTTAGTGTGTATGCCATATACCGCAGGTGAATCTGTCATACACCGCAAGTGAATATGCCATATTCGTTGCGGAATATGACATATTTTTGTATCGTGTTTACTGCGTAACAATACTGACACACGTTTGTCATAAAAATGATAGAAATAAGGGAAAAAAATCGTACCTTCGAGGTCCCGACACTTTGTAACCGAGACGATCCGTTTTGGTAACCAGCGTAATCGAGTGGAGTACCAGTGATCATACGTCAAAGCAACAGGAGTACTACATTGTTGTGAATAAAACAACAATCTGAGACGATCTTCAGTTACAAAATGTGATTTTCGTTTTATTCTCGATATATATGAAACTATACCAATAAATGATTTTTTATAATTTTGTAACTTTGACAAAACGAAAAGAACATGAACTTGGTATTTTTCTAATAACGGATAAACATTTTACAACCACCAGAAAAATCAGACTCGATTAAAAAATTCATCTGTAAACTCGTATCACTTTACTGCATCTCAACATAGTGACAACTTCATGAACGAAATACTTTTGATTTAGAAAATTAAAGAGTCAATAGATAGATGATCTATACCTGTCAATTATCATTGTTTTCATACTAACGAGTCTATTTGTGAACAGCAGTTGGTCATGACAGTAGCTGGGCAGTTGACATATAGTGGTTGTATGCATACAATATGTAGGCAACATATGTAGACAATGATCTAAAAATTCTAATTGATTCAGGACCCTTAGTGATATCCACAATCTGTGTTATTTAAATAGCTGTTTATGTATTAACTGTTTCTGTCTAAATTGAGATATGTAGATATTCTGCAAATATTTAATTATACTTAGGTGAATATCTATGCATCTTTCAAAAGTGATATTCCACGAGGTTTTTAAAATGTATGGCTTCTTGTATTTTGATGCTTTTCTGACATATTCTGACATATTTAGTCTGTACAGCTTTACTGCACATAAATTAGATATACCTGAAATAAACAAAAGTTCCGCACCAAGATAAATGATTTTTTCAAAAAGAGTTGCACTGTGGTGCTTTGGTTGCTTACTTCTATTGACACATAGAAAAATTAATTTGGATTATTAACTGAATACGCGTTCAGCTGCTGCACTGTACGGTGTTTCATTTTTCAAGAATGTTCTCAGATCATAACGGCCCTTTAACATGGGGTTACAAATGGTGCTGGTAATTCACTTTTTTCAACAAAATCGGATAACGTTTAAACTGGTCCGTCGGCCATTCTTTCCGTCCCATTGGATTACATTGTGGGCTACAAGATGACTCAAATTCATTGAAAATTTCAATAAAGTAGCCTAGGGGTATCAGTAGCAAGTTGTAAGTGATAAGGCTTTTACTGAAAACCGTTTCAAGGTAAAAGATGCGATGGGAGATGAATCAAAGGAATTAAGGGCAATACTTGGAGTCATGTCATTGAAAAAAATGTAAAAATGCACGTTTTTGTAGTTCTAGTTGCATTAAAGAACGGGATGTCATTGGAGGTGATTTTGGGAGAAATACACAAAAGCATTTCAATTGGAAAACGGCTTCTTTCAGACTGAAGAAATAATTGAAGTTTCCGTTGATATTTGATATTTTTGCATGCTGTTTTCAATTTGTCAATACTTGTCCATAATATGTAACCGATCTCTTTCATATTCATAACTGATACCCTTTAGTTTTTCAATTAAAAATTTCGGTAAATTAAAATAATTCGGCCCATCTATTGCTGAGAAAATTATTGTCAGAAACAGCTTCTTTTAGAGTGAAATTGGTGACTTTTCCATTGCTCTTATTTTGCTTGCTGTTTTTAATTTGACAATATGTAACCTATCTCGTTCATATTTATCACTGGTGATCCGCTCGATTACGCTGGTTACCAAAACGAATCGATTTGGTAACAAAATGGCTGCCGTTCAGGCTGAAGAAAACGGTAAGAATTTTCGTTTTCCTTGATATCTCGAGATACAGCATGAATCATCCATATCTTTTCGGCCAAAATATGGGTAAGCAAAATATCTTTCTGGACAACCAAGTGATTCTGCTCGAAATAGTTTGCAGGATGGCAGGAACGCCAAAATAATTCCTCGCTTTGGTTACATAAACGAACTGGTTGAAAATTGATGATAATACGACAACGGACAAATACAGCTACATAAACGATAACTAATATTTCTATTTAACGAGTTGTTTTCTACATATCTTCATTTTTAGAGAAGTTACATTCTCAGTATGGACATACCAAACCAGGTGGTAGAGCCCGTGGTATGAAAAAGGAAATATATGCTGACATGACTGACTGACTGTGCCCTTGATTGGAATCTTTGAAAAGATCAATAACTACCATGACATTGTTTGCTCCCCGTGTGTTTGAATTTAAATCACTCGGCATACATTGGTTTACAGTAGAAACTGTCCCGGTATTTTGTCTGATTTTAAATGATTGTTTTATGGGGGCCGCCGGTCACCTACCCATCCCACCCAAATATAGTGCGTGTCTGACCCGGGGTGTCTGACTCATTTTCGAAATGCTAGATGAATCGAATGTTAATATTAGGCACACTAAGAAAATCATTTTTTCTGTTCAATTTCTCTATAATCATTATAACTTTTGGAAGTATCTCCTTTAATTCCTCCTGAGGATCTTGTTTTGGAGAATCATCGATATCACTCGAAAATTCTGCAGCCTCCTTAGTAACTCCTTAGCTCTCCCTGCATTTTCTCAGTGTTTGTGTCGTGTACTTTCTCCTGGATGTCATCTAAGAATAAAAAGAAGTAGTAGCTGTGTACGTTTTTGAATAACGTGCTGAATGGAACATTACACGGGGCAATGAATGTATAAATTGTAATGCATGTAATGCTGTTGTCAACTGAAGTAACCCATGAATCACAGGTCCCCATCTGGATATTTGCAAGTACACAGACTGAGAGTATCATCTAAATTGCAGAACAAAATTACTTTCTGATGAACCTTCGATTGATTTAGCCAAACGAATTGATAAATAACACAATTTTAAAGAACTACAAGAAATTTTTAAATAAAAAAAATTCACTCAAGATTACTCTTAACTCAAACGTGCGACAGCGTATTGATAAAGGTAAATAAAAGGGGGGATGACGCCAACTTTTGGAGGGGAATGTACATGAATACAATATGCTAATATTCAAGGTGGTTTGTAGAAACATTTTGTCCATTATTTTGGATGACACTAAGTGCAGTTAAGTCATTTAGAAAATCGGAAACTCCACCGAGCAAAGCCCAACGAACACTATATCCAAAAAATCGTGTAATTAGTAAATAAAGGAGCACGTACGTTATCGCAAACAATTTCACACGGTCATATCTTTGATTGTGACTACTTTCCGACCACGAAGACTGGTAAATCTTTTAAATCCATTTATTATCTTAAAGAAAAGTGTATAGACTGGCCAGACAGACAGACTGGACAGGCCAATCAAAATTTGGTTTCCAGATTCGGATTAGTGAGAAATTTCTACCCTTATTTCATAACTCACACGTTATATTTGGAGAACTTTTTGTTTTGACCTACTTTCTTGATACAATATCTCAAAATCAGTTCAAAATACTCTCTGACGACAAAAGGCTAACGCTTTAAACATACTCTTTGCTATCTGTATACCAAATTTCGAAGAATATTATTAATGTGCAGTGCCAGAATCCTAAAAATAAGGAAAAACTATGAATTTGACCTAGATTTTGACCTAGGCCTTTTAGTGTTCAAATTTTGAAGAAATTATATTTTAAGGTCCAATTCTATTGAAGGCTTTCATTAAGTTGGCTGTGAAGTAGGTAGCTGAGCAAGAAGCTGGTATTTTTCAATTCAAACTGGCACCATTGACTTAACATGAGGATATCATCATATTGATTTTTTTGCGATTTCAAAATGCCATAACTTCCGAACCGAAAGCTGGATTGCTATTTGGTTTGCAGATTCTGATTTCTGAGAAAATTCTACCCTTATTTCATAATTGGTATGTTGAATGTGGAGAATTTTTTGTTTTGACCTATTTTCCGGACACGATATCTCAAAAGTGGGTCAAAATATTTCCTGACGGCAAAAGGCTAACA